GACGAGGGACTCGAACTCACAAGCCCTGAATTGTGTCCTGAGCCGAAGTCTGGCATTTAACCGACTGAGCCACCCACGCGCCTGTCTCTAGAGACATTTTATAACAGGACAAACAGCTTCCCTTGGATAATTTAGGAATTGCTCTTCTTAGACTAACATCTGTAACTTCTCTGCTAGCTATGTTATTTATTATTTTTTTTTTTAATGTTTATTTGAGAAAGTAACAGAGCATGAGCTGGGGAAGGGCAGAGAGAGAGGGAGAGAGGGAATCCCAAGCAGGCTCCACGCTGTCAGCACAGAGCCCGACATAGGGCTCGAACTCACAAACTATGAGATCATGACCTGAGCCGAAATCAAGAGTCAGATGTTCAACCAACGGAACCACCCAGATGCCCCATTAATTAAAATATTCTCTTACTGAGTAAAGTTACATATCACGTGAGTATGTCATTTTCAAGCTTCCTTAAGGAAAGATACCACAGTAGTTGTCCAGCTATTGTTGTAGAGAGGGACCAGCCCCTATACATACAATTTCAAACAGTTTTTCCTACAAAGACTTTGAGAAATATTCAATTGACCATTAGCCTGAACCGTCTACAATTCCCATTTTTGTAGGACAAAAATACGGCAATTTCAAATGGTTCAACTTAATAATTGATCTTCGGACTCAGTGGTATTTTTTTTAATGTTTATTTATTTTGAGAGATTGCGAGTGGGAGGGGGCAGAGAGAGAGAGAATCCCAGGCAGGCTTCATGCTCAGCGCAGAGCCCGACGTGGGGCTCGATCTCACGACCGTGACATCATGACCTGAGCCCAAATCAAGAGTCAGAAGCTTAACCCACTGAGCCACCCAGGCACCTCTCAGTAGTGTTCTTTTTATGCATTCATTTGAACAACAGAATCTAAAATGCTAGATAGCTCTAAATAATGATCTTAACTGAACAGAATTTGAAAGGAAAAGGAAGTAGCTTTAATCAGGAAAATACTACCTACTGGCATTTCGGCTTTGCCCTTGAGTCCAGCGCTGTAGCATCTCCCTCTGGTGAGGCTGCTGTGACCACACCATACTAGAGTGGGCCCACTAAGAGCAGTGTGTTCATTAGGATGGCCCCCACTTTGATTTAAGATCAGAGCTGACCTCGCGGGAGACTAGACTGAAATAGACGAGGGCCTGGAATAGAGGCAGAGAAACATCGGCTGCAGCAGTGATGTTAGGGTGAGTGGGTTTTATTTTTTATGCTGTGCCTTTGTAGTGTGCCTGAAAACATTTTTAAGATTGCTTGTCCTTGTTTCTTTTACACCTGCTACATGTTAAAGGCACCTCTAAGATGTAACGATGTGTGCAGGATTTGCATTTTTTTTTTTATCTTAGAACTTTAAAAAGCAGGTTACCTACTTTGTCCGGTGTTGACTCATTTTTCTCTATGGCCCACATAAGTAGAATTATAGTATCACAAGGCTGCAAGGTACCTCAGGAAATGGAAATCAAATCCATCCTCCACTCAGAAAGAGCTGCACTCAAAAATAGCATTGTCAAGTGTAAGGAGAGATGGCTCCCCCGTTCTGCGGAGAGAGCCGAGGCCTAGAAGCTGGAAGAGACAGCCCCCGGCTCATCCAATACTGTCCAGAAACGTTGGCTCCTCAGGTGGTTGGTTTTGTTTTGTTTTGTTTTAGCAAGAAACGAGGTGTAAGTGCGTTTCTTAAAACAAATCCACATCCTCTTATTTTACTCACGCTTTTGTGATTTTCTGCACATTTCAGTCTGTGTCGCCCCCTTTGCTCCTCCTGTCTCTTGCATGTATTTCTCTCAGCGCTTTCCTCCTCTTTGCTTCTATGGAAATCAAGGCTCAGTGGAAGCGTCTTCTCTTTGTGAAGCATTCCCAGATCACCTTAAGCATATTTAATACTTCCCTATTCCCCTCTTTCCTAGAGTAGACGGTGTCTTATAGTGCCTGCCCTCTGGTATTTTAATCGTGTCTGTCTCTCCCGCCAGACCAGAAACCAGGTCTGATTTATAACAGACCGATCCCCAGCACGGTGCCTGTTATGGAGAAGACACTCGTAACCTGATTGTTGAATGAATAAATCATCAGTTTTTACAGCAGGAAGATAATGTAATAAAAAGAAAACGAGAAGTCTTAAGTTTTTCTTTATTTTTCTGAAGTTTGCTTTCTTTTCTTTGTTTTATAAGCTTGTTGAAATTACACTCTGTGTATGTTCTTCAGTTTTCCTGGAGATTCTCATATTTCTAAAAGGCTTACATTTTTCTGCTAAAAAAAAAAATTTGTGGAGTCCATAGATTTATACCCAGAACTCAGCTTTAGTGATCATTTATTCCCATATGCCCTGGCCAGGGTTGGGGTAAGGTAAGCATCACCTGGAAGTGTGGGCTCTAGATAATGTATTGTGTCTAGTTCTTTTTTTTTTTTTAACGTTTATTTTTTTATTATTGAGAGACAGAGCATGAGCATGGGAGGGGCAGAGAGAGGAGGAGACACAGAATCTGAAGGAGGCTCCCTGCTCTGAGCTGTCAGCACAGAGCCCGACGTGGGGCTGGAACTCACAAACCCAGTGAGATCATGACCTGCGCTGAAGTCAGACGTTTAACCAACTGAGCCACCCAGGCGCCCCGTATTGTGTCTAGTTGTAAAGGTGTTTTGTTTCTTGTTTTGCCTGCTTTAGCGTTTCCACTGGCGACACCGCTGGTAGAAAGTATACAGACTTTCTTGCAGTGTGATCGACCTAAATGCTGCCTGGTGTGAAACTGACTCCCCATTGCCTATTCTTTCCATATATTGAGATGAGTGGATTGGGTAATTTCAGGTTGAACATATATGTGACAGGTACAGTTTTATTTAAAAGCAGTTAATGTAAATCATATGAAATTGTGTTTTACCTTTCTGTAAAACTTATTTTGTGTTTCAGATCAGGAATGTTGGAGTCTGGTATTGACCGAATTATTTCTCAGGTTGTGGATCCAAAGATCAACCACACGTTCAGACCTCAGGTGGAGAAAGCTGTGCATGAGTTTTTGGCCACCCTAAACCACAAAGAGGAAGCAAGTGGCAGCACAGCCCCTGATGATGAGAAACCAGACTCTTCCGTCATTACACAAGGTGCTTTGCTTTTACTCTTGGTCAGTTCCTTTGCTTTGCTTCTTGAACTGGGTATCAAGCTAGGGATATAATTATCAATTTTGTTCCTTGGCTACTCTAGTGAAATTGTATTTATTTCAAATATCACATTCCTCAACTGATAGAACATTTCTTTTTGAGATTAATGCAAAATGGTAGACATTTTCCTGACGTGTTGGCTGTGTGTATGTGTGTGTGTTTCAACTGAGGGAATAATTAATATAACCGAAGAGAATTAGACTATTCTCAGGTTTGCATGGTGCCTTTCCTATGACACAGTGTTAGAACAGTAGAGGATTTAGAATGTTCTCGGTGTTAGCATTGGTATCCGAAAGTCTAAAAGAATATGAATGGTCTGGGGGCGCCTGGGTGGCTCAGTCGGTTAAGCATCCGACTTCGGCTCAGGTCATGATCTCACGGTCCGTGAGTTTGAGCCCCGCGTCGGGCTCTGTGCGGATAGCTCAGAGCCTGGAGCCTGTTTCAGATTCTGTGTCTCCCTCTTTCTCTGACCCTCCCCTGTTCATGCTCTCTCTCTCTCTTGGTCTCAAAAATAAATAAATGTTAAAAAAAAATTAAAAAAAAAAGAATATGAATGGTCTGCACAGCATACGTGTCTTATAAAGATGAGAGCGTCTTGTAGCATCGATTCATCAGAGGGGCTTACCTTCTGCATAAGTTTTTTCTAATGCTCATCTTTCCCTCAAAGGTGTCCCAGTGCCTGGACCCAGCGCTAATGTAGCCAATGACGCCATGTCAATCTTGGAAACCATAACTTCTCTTAACCAAGAAGCTAGTGCAGCCAGAGCTTCAACAGAAACATCAAACACCAAGACCAGTGAGAGAGTGTCCAAAAAACTCCCATCTCAGCCCAGCACTGACACTAGTACTGAGAAAGAGAGAACTTCAGAGGACATGGCTGACAAAGAAAAGTCTACACCCGACTCTGCAGGGGAAGGACAGGAAACAGCCCCCAAGTCTGAAGAATTAAATGATCTCCCTTGTCCAGTTGAGGAAATTAAAAATCATACAAAAGAGAGTAATAGTTCAATTCTGCTAAATAAGGATGCTCAACAGGAAAGCATTGACCAAAAAAATAAATCAACGGACAAAGGTGAAAAGAAACCAGAGAGTAATGACAAAGGAGAAAGGAAGAAAGAAAAGAAGGAAAAGACTGAAAAGAAGTTTGACCACCCAAAAAGGAGTGAGGACCTACAAAAAGCGAAAGAAGAAAAGCAAGCAAAGGAAAAAGAAGTAGAGTGTTCAAAACTCCCGTCAGAAAAGAATAGTAATAAAGCTAAAACCATTGAAGGGACAAAAGAAGGTATATAAAAACTTGCAAAAATCTACAGTTTACAGATCAAAGACTGTCAGTTGTGGGGGGGGGGGTCAAATTTTTTTGACCTGTATTTAATGCAGAGTATTTTAAACGTAATTTAGGAATTGGGTGCTGAGTTTGTTCTTATAACATGACTTATCTTTGTGTTTTATTTCCTCGTTGAAGATTGCTCTTTGATAGATTCTGATGTGGATGGACTTACAGACATCACAGTTAGCTCTGTCCATACCAGTGACCTTTCATCTTTTGAAGAAGACACCGAGGAGGAAGTTGTAATGTCTGATAGCATGGAAGAAGGAGAGATTACGTCAGACGGTAAAGCATTTTACTTAATAACGCCTCTGGGAAGCTTCCTGGCGAGCATTGTTTGTATATTCACATGGCTATATCGTGAAAGACAGTGTGGTATACTGGCAAGAGCATGGGACTTTGTAGTTGGAAGATGTATTTCTGAGTCCCAGCTCCAAGGTTGTCTGTCTGAGCAAGCTTGGTAAGTTACTCCACAAGCCTTGGTTCTCCATCCTTGAACTCCATCCCGCAGGTTTATTAGAAGATGTAGAGGAGACAGTGTATATGACGGTGCTGTGGGTGTGGGTGTCTGTGGGTTTGTATGGGCGTTGTTGGGGGAGCACAGTCCCCAAGGCTGCTCACTTCTGACACCATTTGCAAAGTTGAGGTCTCCAAGCCTACCCTTAGGTTTGACGATTCTCCAGGAGGACTCCTAGAACTCACTGAAAGCTTTACAGTTCATGGTTGTGGTTTATTACAGTGAAGGGACACACATTCAGATCAGCCAAGGGAAGAGGCACACAGGCCAGAGTCCACAGAGCTTCCGGAAGCCCTTTCCCTGCGGGGTCACAGAGAGCATTACCTTCCTGGCATTGATGTCAGAAATATGTATATGGCTAATCGCCAACCAGGGAAGCTCACAGAAACCTTGATGTCCAAAATTTCTACTGGGACTCCATCATGGAGACATAACATCAGATCTTAATCTCCAGCCCCTCCAGAGGTCAAGCTGATATGCCATGGCCCAAAGCTACTGACCCAGATCATACCATGAGTTGATTTAGCTTGACCCAAGACCCCCAGGCAGACAAACACTTGTGTCAGACATGATATTCCACAGACTTAGAGATTACCTCCCAGAAGCTACGGGCAAGACCATACTTCTCTGTAGAGTTTGTTTTTCACCCAGCCCTTACTAAGCACTTACTGTGTTCCAGGCACTGTGTACTATTCTGTGTCCTAGCTCCTGTAATCCTCAACAATCCTGAGAAGTAGGTCCAGGTGAGGAAAGAGAGTCACCAAGAGAAGGTGTCCTGCCTAGGGTCACGCAGCTATTGAGCTCCGGTGTCAGTTTCAACCCTGGTCTGGGCTTCTGACCAACACTTTGTGCTACTCTGTATCACGTGATTAAGTTCTGCTTACGACCTTTGTTAAAAATCAAATATTATTTGCAACTACTTGTAAGCAGCATTTTGTAAATTTGCCATGGGCTTTTGGATAGGACACCTAGAGAGAAAATCCTAGAGGAGAAAAAGTAGAAGCTTTTAGTTCCACCTTTTAATTTCAGTCCATCCCAGTTTGCATCCTTAGTATCCCCCTAAAACCGAAATGACCAGCCCAGAAAACAACATCAGGTATGCTTTTCATACCTCATTGTGAGGTCAGTTCCCTAGGCCCTGTGTATGATGGATATCACTCATCCTGTGTGTACCCCACTTTCTGAAGCCTGACTAAAATTCTCATTCTAGGTGCTTTTGTGGGGCTTTCCACGTTTTTTCCTGGACAGGACTAGGTTTTATATGTCTGAGATCCAAGAAGTAAGAAGGTGACTGGTTGGAGAGTACTAAGTGGTAGAAATGAAGACCTTGTTTACAGGTTTTCTACTTCACTTGCTGTGTGGTGGGAAACATACCCACCTTCCTAGGGTAGAGGGCTTTTAGTACATACTTGGTGTGGGCCAATTATTGACTCTTGCCTCTTGCGTAGTGGGAGACTCTCAGGTGGTCATTAAAATCTCAAAATTAAAAAAAAATCTCAAGCCTACTTTAAAGTGTGGGTTCAAGTGAACTTGTTCAGTTTTACAGTGGCAAAGCCACGTCCGTACCAAGTCTACTGACGTACTAATGAGAATTAAGTATTTGTCAGGGAACCCTGAATGGTGACAGGGTCTAATTTTTTTTTGCCTTCTTTATGTGTGAGAAGCTCGTTGGAAGAAGTAAATTTCGATATGGATGGGATGATAGCCTTTAAAAATGTTTATTTCTGATTTTTTTGCATCCTGATATTTTCCATTGGGCTGACAAACGCACTTGAACTATATTGATAACTGCTTTTGTTGCTTGATGTTGATCAAGCATGGTGTCGACTTCATTGGTAATTCACAGAGGCACTCCTCTTTCTTTTGGCTTTCTTCCAGATGAGGAGAAGAACAAGCAGAACAAAACAAAAACTCAAAACAGCGACCCCAGTGAAGGAAAAGCAAAAAGCGTGCGGCACGCTTATGTTCACAAACCATATCTTTACTCAAAGTATTATAGCGACTCTGATGATGAACTTACCGTAGAACAACGACGCCAGTCTATTGTAAGTCAGATTCGATCTGTCGCTATTTTAACCTGTCACATCAGGTTGACAAACCTGGCTAGTCTGTGTGCAAGGTCTGGGCAGCAGACAGAACCATGACATGGAGGTTCTGTCTTCAGCAGCCTGTCATTTAGGCAGAACAGACATAAACGTGTGACGTAGGTGTTTGTGTCATTATGCTTAATAGTGAAAACCGGGCAACAAGTGTTTCACAGTATAGAAATGTTTGAATCAAGTGTGGATCCAGCCCATACAAAGATAGGATGTGCAGCCATTAACATAAGATTCAGAGGAAAGTGCAGGTGGGTGGTTGAGTTGGTTAAGTGTCAGACTTCAGCTCGGGTCACGATCTCGCTGCTTGTGGGTTCGAGCCCTATGTCAGGCTTTGTGCTTGGAGTCTGGAGCTTGCTTCACGTTCTGTCTCTGTCTCTCTCTGCCCCTCCCTCGCTCATGCGCTCGCTCTCTCTTTTAGAAGTAAATAAACATTAAAAATTTTTATTTCAAAAAGAGAGAAGTGCAGTCTACAAATGTCCTAGGTACAAGATGTGTCATTGGATTAACAGCTTCTTAGAGAAAAAAATTTGCTACCTTATCATAGGTGTACGTCATTTGTAAGATGACTTACGGTTTTAGAAACATTAAAATATGGAGCTGCACATCTTAGAGCGAGGAAATGCTGTTACCTACGATGGTCATTTGAAGGAGGTGGAAATGCTGATAGTTGCTTATCTCTGAGAAGTTTGCTTCATCAGAGGTTATACCAATGCTTAGGGTTTTTGGCCCTCTGAGACTTGGAGTTCTGGCTGGAAAAGGGTGGGGGGCGTACCCCACGATGACCAGATTCTTGTTTTTTTATTTTATTTAATTTCTTTTTTTTTTTTTTTTTTTTATACTTGACAGAGAGAAAGACACATCATGAGCGAGGGAGGGGCAGAATGAGAGAGAGAGACACAGAATCCGAAGCAGGCTCCAGGCTCTGAGCTGTCCACACAGAGCCCGATGTGGGGCTCAAACCCAAAAGCCATGAGATCATGACCTGAGCCAAAGTCGGATGCTCAGCCGACTGAGCCACCCAGGCGCCCCTTGTTTTTTTAACATAGGATAGCAGAAAGTCCCATGTCCAAAACCTGGGTCCCAAGAGCATAACCCACAAGTCATATTTGTTGTAGAACTAGCCTGTCTCTTGAGTCTGCACTTCAGTTTCTCTTTTAAGAATAATTTAAAAATTTGAGGTGCCCGGGTGGCTCAGTCAGTTAAGCGTCTTACGTCGGCTCAGGTCGTGATCTTGCAGTTTTTGAGTTAAAGCCCCGCGTCGGACTCTATGCTCACAGCTCAGAGCCTGGAGCCTGCTTTGGATTCTGTGACTCCCTCTCCCTCTGCCTCTTCCCTGCTCACTGTCTCTCAAAAAGTAAATGAATGCTTAAAAAAAATTTTTTTTAAGAATAATTTAAAAATTATTGTACACAGGAGATTTGCCTGTGTACATATGATGTACATTGGTGTTCATATATATTTTCACAGCCAGCCTTTTCATTGAAGTAACTGGTTTATTAAACCACCATTTCCCAAAATGATACCTTTCCTATTCCTTAAACTAATGGCAATCTGAAAGAGTAATGGAAAATTTTCTGATCTGTCTCTTCTGGTAGCTTCCAAATTATATAATGTGTATGCACCTTTGCAAAGCCCATTATTTTGTAAGAATATTTGAAGGGTAAACATACTTGTTTTCATTGTTTTTGCTTTTGCCTAATAGTTGGTCAGGATAATTGTGAACATTTTGTGGTTTTAGGCTAAAGAAAAAGAAGAGAGGCTTTTAAGAAGGCAAATTAATAGAGAGAAACTTGAAGAAAAACGAAAGCAGAAGGCAGAAAAGACAAAGTCTTCAAAAGCTAAGAGTCAAGGTATAGGAGGTGTTAACTTTAATATTTTAAATTATCTTGTATACTCCATTATTTTCTAGATATTCATATTACTTATGAGATGATATAAAATGATCTAAATTGCATCTCAATAAAGCTGTTGTATTAAAACAAGTATTCTTAAATATGGAAGGTGTTTTGTTTTTTTTTTTATTCTGATGTATCACTTTTTAAATTCTATTGCTGTATCTAAGTTATACATTCTGTCAGGTACCAGCTTATACAGCTCTCATTAGCAATTTATTTTCCAGCCATTTTGGAATGAATTATCACTGGAGAATGGATTGTTTGCATGTGAGTAATCAAGCCTTGCTGGTGATATTAGTGGAATTAATCTGTGCTTTTTTGTTTACTAAAGTGTCAGACATTTATCTGGAATATTTCATTGAACAAAATTGAACTTTCTCTGGGCACTGATCCTTTGTAGCATACAAAAAAAAAAAAAATACACACACATAAGCATTTGAAATAAAAAAGCTAAGACTTGTCCATCTAAAATATTACTTTTCTTCTAGTACAACTTAAGGATATTAAAGCCATTCAGCACTTTTACATTGATCAGAAATTCTCAATGAAAAATAAATATTACACTGTTTATAAATTCCATTCTAAAGTACAGCTTATTGATATTGCTTCTTTCCTAGGCAAAAATAGTGTGGACTTAGAAGAATCATCAACAAAGACTTTGGAACTGAAAACCCCCAGAATTAAAGAAGTCCTTAAAGAGCGGAAAGTATTAGAGAAAAAGGTAGCCTTAAGCAAAAGAAGAAAGAAAGATTCAAGGTACATGTTCTATCTGGCAGTGCTCCCATTATAACTTTCCCCTGCCATACTTTCAGAAGGGAGGCATTGGCAGTGACAGTAAAGAACCTTACCTTGAAAGTGTGTGTTATTGTTGCACATTATGAGAACCATGGGGGTTCAGAACTCTTTATATCCTCATTCCTTGTGTTAGTATCTCTACTGTAAAGTCGTGTGTTTTAATGTTTTTGGGAGAGGGGGGCCCGGAACTTTTTCATAATCTGATGGCAGTTTCGGATCTCCCCAGAAAAATGCATGTGTATAAACACACAGTTGTTTTGAGAATTTCAGAGTTTATGGACCCTCTAGAATACTCAGGAAGTATCCCTACAGTGCCACTTAACCACTTATTTATAGTGACTGCATCCATTTTCTAGTCTTGCTAGGCATTCCCTTCAACAGTGTCTCATGCTTCTCCCCGTAAACCAGAGGGCTGAACCAAATGCTTATCTGTCATTGCACTGTCATAGTGAATTCTATAAGAATTAGAAAGCCAAAGAGACTCTGAAAGTGGCCTGAAGCCCCATGAGCCATAGCTACAGTCAAGTTGCATTATGTACATTTGTCACAGACTTGGATTTAGCTGAACCAGTAATTAATCTTACTGAGAAATTCTTATATTTTATTCAAATTAAGCTCATATATGACTTTTTCTTCCCACTTAGGAATGTTGAAGAGAATTCTAAAAAGAAACAGCAATGTGAAGAAGATTCCAAAGAAACTCTCAAGACAAGTGAGGTATGTCTGAATTAATAAAACCCATTTTAAATGTGCTTTTGTTAGATAAAGGCCATTCAGTCCTTCGGAGTAAAACTTGGAATGCAATTTGATCTTTTCCCAGTTAGAAAAAAAATATATCACCTTCAGCATTCTTGAACCCCCATCTTATTATGACCTGAATTCCTCATTTTGACCAAGTTGATTCATGTGATCTTTTATCCAAGTAATAGCTACTTTTCTACTTTCCTTTCCCTCATTCCCCAGCCCCCCACCCTCTTTTGTTATATTAGCAATAGCAAAATTGCCCGTAATGATAATGGAAAAGAAAGAGGGTAGCTAAAATCCCTTCTCCAGGGCAGATTATTCACTTCATTCTCCTACATTCCTCCACAAATGTACATAATTTTGTAGAGTGGGTGTAATCTTGCAAAATGATTTTAACATTCCCTCTTGCTCATTTCATGTTACCTTGTAAGTTTCTAGTTATTATATTTAATGACTGCATAGGGTTGTATTGAATAGATAGACCGTAACTTAAGCATTCCCTTATAGTTGAGCACTTAGATTACTTCCAAGATCCGACCAATGTAAGTACTGAAAGTATGTTTAATGAATACATTTTTTCCCCCTGTTTGGATTATTTTCTTGGGATAAACTTTTGCTTTCACTGGATTCAAATCCTTATTTACTCTGCCATATTTATAATTCTATAGCCAAACTATCTTTTTTTTTTTTTTTTTTTTTTTTGAGCAGACTCCACGCCCAACCTAGGGCTCAAACTCACGACCCTGAGATCAGGAGTTTCACGCTCTACTGTCTGAGCCAGCCAAGCACCCCTATACCGAAACTATCTTCACATTTCCAAGGGAAAACTAATAATTTAGTGATTATTTATTCATAGCCAGTTAATAATCTTGATTTCTTTATTCAGAAATTAGAGGCATATTTATAAGTATATCCTGATGTTTTAATGGCATACTTTAAAATATTTAACTTCATTTTGTGATAAATTTCTTTTAAAAATGACTTCATAAAACTTTGTTCATATAAACTGGTTGAAGCTTACTGTAAAATTAGGCAATAAAATCCTTGTTCTTTCTTTGAGGAATTTCACTTTAAAGTGTTTTTTTAAGATCTTTCTGTGTCCTACTCCTGAATCTGTAGAAGTGCATTAATCTTTGTGTTAAATTGTAAGAAGTTGCAGTGATAAACTAACCCAGAGACACAGATCTTCTGAGAACTTCAGCTCATTATTTGAATGAGAAATTATAGGTAGTGGTCAATGAGACTGTAGTATGTGTGGTCTGCGTTCACTGACTAACATTAATAATGTACTCGGTGCCATACTGTGGGACAGGGAGGAAGGGTCGGATGCTCTGGTCCATCATTGTCTTCCTTCGGATACATAAACGTACACGTGCTTGATATGTGATAAGGTTACTGTTACAGTGAGGTTCTGTGTGCATTTGAAACTTCCTAACTAGAATGTCCTTTAAGGAGCCTGAATTCATGAGGTTTCCACAAATCATTCAGGCTCCTAAATTAAAATGTAAGAAACCTTCATTTCAGTATAGAATTTTTAAATTGTCTTCATCATGTTGTGGAACTGAAAAGAACATTGAGCTCTCATTCATGCAGCTTATGTTTATTAGTGGCTGCTGGGTGTTAGTGAGCTTTAATGGTTTGGAGTTCAAGGAGGCCTCCCAAATGCAGGGACAGGTCTCAGGAGAGATAGCTGGTCTCTGCACAGATCTCTGCGGTGCAGTGGGAAGAGCCCTAGACTGCGAACGAATTCATCTGAAGTCGTTGGCCTGGGGACAAGGTCATCAATTCCCACTGAGCTTCGGTTTCCCGATGCACCAAGTGGGGTCACCAGTACCTACCACAGGCTGCTGGCGAGCTTAAGTGACATGTACACGTGACGGCAGTCAGCATATCGGGGGTACCCAAATGCTAAGTTTGATTTTAGTATTGCTCATATTTTACCTTTTTTTTTTTTTTTTTTAACAGCATGGCGAAAAGGAAAAAGTGTCCTCTTCAAAGGACCTGAAGCATGTTCACGCAAAAAGCGAACCAAGTAAACCTGCCCGGAGACTTTCCGAGTCGTTGCATTCAGCTGATGAAAACAAAAATGAATCCAAGATAGAGAGAGAACACAGAAGACGCACATCCACCCCCGTCGTGGAGGAAGGGGCACAGGAAGAGGCTGACGCAAGAGATGGGAAGAGGCAGGCAGAACGGTCAGAGGTTGGCACCGAAGAGCCCCAGAAACAGAAGAGCACACTTAAAAATGAAAAGCATCTAAAGAAAGATGATTCTGAAACACCACATGTGAAAAGCCTACCTAAGAAAGAGGCAAAGTCCTCAAAGGACAAACCTGAAAAAGAGAAGACTCTGTCAGAAGACAAAGTGTCTATGAAACATAAATATAAAGGTGACAGTCTGCATAAAATGAGTGAGGAGACGGAGCTTCACTCTTCTGAGAAAAGCTTAAAAGTGGATGAAAATACTCAAAAGCAAAGTCAGCAACCAAAACTGTCTTCGGATGATAAAACTGAACGAAAAAGTAAACATAAGAATGAGAGGAAATTATCAATTTTAGGCAAAGATGGGAAGCCAGTTTCTGAATATATTATAAAAACAGATGAGAATGTTCGTAAAGAAAACAAAAAAGAGAGACATGTTTCAGCCGAGAAAACTAAGGCAGAACACAAATCAAGAAGATCAAGTGATTCTAAAGTTCAGAAAGATTGTCTGAGTTCAAAGCAACACGGAATCCCATTGCAGAGAAGAAGTGACAGTTATTCAGAGGACAAGTGTGATATGGACCCAACTAATGTGGATAGTAATTCGAAACCAGAAGAGATGGTTCACAAGGAGAAGCGAAGAACAAAGAGCCTACTGGAAGAGAAGCTTTTGTTAAAGTCGAAACCAAAAAGTCAAGGCAAGCAGTTAAAAGTAGTTGAACCGGAATTACAAGAAAGTGTCGCGAAACAAGTGACCACTCCAAAACCAGATAAGGAGAAGAACGCAGAAGAGATCAACCCAGATAGACAGCGAAAGTCTAAAGTTGAAGACAAACCTTCTGAGGAAACTGGTGTAGAAGCTGTATCGGACAGTGCCGCTTCTTCACACGGGGTACAGAAGGACTCTTCGAGTCACAGAGCCAAGTTACCGTTAGCAAAGGAGAAATATAAGGCTGAAAAAGATTCAGGCCCCTCCAGACCTGAGAGGAAGTTATCAGATGGGCACAAAAGCAGAAGCTTAAAGCATAGCAGTAAGGAAGTGAGAAAAAGGGAAGAAAATAAATCAGATGACAAAGATGGTAAAGAAGTTGACAGTAATCACGACAAGGCCAGAGGGAATAGTTCGGTTATAGAAAAGAAATTGAGTAGGAAGTTGTGTGAAAACCGAAGAGGAAGCTTATCCCAAGAAATGACCAAAGGAGAAGAAAGATCAGCAAACACCTTGGGCACCACCAGTAGTTCCTCCATTCAGAGACCAAAAAGGAGTGGTGATACCACATCAATGCTTGAACAAGAGCCAATGGAAATTGAGTCCGAGCCAGCTGTTGAAAATGTGTCTGAAGCATCTAAAAGCCAAGACAACAGCAATACTATCTCTCAACAAGACATTGACTCTGAAAATGTTACGAAACAAAAAACCGCAGTCCCGGTTCTAAAGGATGAATTAAGAACTTCCACAGTAGACTCAAAAACAGCAGCTCCAGCCTGTAAATCAGGACGTGGAACAGGAGTTGTTAGTAATTCTGAAAAGCACGCTGACCATAAAAGCACCCTGACCAAGAAAGTGCATATCCAAAGTGCTGTGTCCAAACTGAACCCTGGGGAGAAAGAACCCATTCACCAGGGAACTCATGAAACAAATACAGACTCCGAAACTAGTCCTACACCGTTTCCTCGAGCCCCGTCCGACAATGACAGGGCACAAAAGAATTTGAAAAATACAACCAGACCCCCCGAAGAACATGCTGCCCAAGGAGATGCTGATCGTGTACATTCCCCAAATTTAGATCCTTCACCATCCTTAAGTTCAGTAACTGTCATGCCTCCAAAACAGTCTCCTGATTCGGACGTAATTCCTTTGGTTGACGGGAGGACTGTTTTAGAAGGCGACCCAGCCAGCCCCTCACTTGTGGAGCGCTCTGGTATTCCTAACACAAGTTTGACTGCTGGGGAATCACAAGTCCTTATGACAGGTGACAGCAAAGAAAGTGGGGCAGTTTCCACAGTAGATACACCGGCAAAAGCAAGCGTGGATAGCAAAAGACACATTCCAGAAGGTTACCAGCCCACTGTGTTGCACAGTAAGCAGGGACAAGTAAACATGCCTGTTGGTAGCAAGTTAACTGACACGAGGATGGAAAGTGAGAGTGTTAACGCAGAAGATGGCTTGATGGACGTGGCCAGGAAAGAAAGTGACTTAAGCACAGAGCCCAGTTCAAAGCAGACAGTGAGAGCTGTGCAAGAAAATGGCAAAAAGCATGGCGTCACTGTTGACCCAGTGCTCGGCACGCGGACAGACAAAGCTGCCGAGACAGTTGTGCTCAAGTGTAGTAGTGGCCCAGGTGAAATAGAAAACACATCAGTTGATGTTGAAAGAAGGACTGAAAACAGCGAGGTGGACACCAGTGTTGGATGTAATGCCACTTCCCCAGTTTTGCAGCAAAGGAGTGGAAATGCTGAGGGTGTGACTGCCGGGCCTGGCAGAGCAGAAAAGTCTTCTTGTGCCACTAGTTCCGAAGGGAAGGGCGAAGGTGTTCCCTTCAATACCGTGAAGGCGGGGGATGCTACAACCACGTCCTCAGAAACAGGACAGGGTGAGGTGGCTGTGCCCTGCATGAGCATTGAGGCAGACGAAGGCTTCGTAGCAGGTGTCTGCTCTGGAAACAGTCCCCTTCACGTCGGGGCAGAAGCCAGCGAATGCACTGTCTTCGCGGCGGCCGAAGAAGGCGGAGGCGTTGTCACAGAAGGGTTTGCCGAAAGTGAAACCTTCCTCACAAGCACCAAGGAGGGAGAGAGTGCAGAGTGTGCTATGGCCGAATCCGAAGAAAGGGCAGCAGACCCCGTGACTGCTCACGCAGTAACAATTGAAGACAATGTCAACAGTGGGGTGACAGAAGAGAAAGATGATGCTGTCACCAGTGCCGGCTCTGAAGAGAAGTGTGACGGCTCTTCACGTAGTGCGTTGGAAATGGCAGAAAGAACTGTCACCTTTATCAGTGAGGTTGAAAGCGATGGCGCGGTGACAAGTGCTGGGACAGAAGTAAGGGAGGGCTCCTTAAGCAGTGAGGAGGTGGATGGGTTCCAGAGAAATGTGACAAGAACGGGCCCCAAAAAAGAAACCGAGGGGACTGTGACATGCACCGGAGCGGAAAGGAGAAGCGCTGCTTTTGTCATGTGCTCCGTCACAGGCGCAGAGCGACAGGAGGAGCGTGTGGTTACAGGCGCAGCTGTGGCCCTGGCGGGTAATGACGCGCCACCAGGAACCAGCGCCCCCCAGGACGGAGACGCTTCTGTGAATGACGGCACGGAAGGTGAGAGTGCCGTCACCAGCACTGGGATAACAGAAGAAGATGGAGAGGGGCCAGCCAGCTGCACAGGCTCGGAAGAGGGCAGCGAGGGCTTTGCTCTGAGCTCTGAATCAGAAGAAAATGGAGAGAGCGCAATGGACAGCACGGTAGCTAAAGAAGCCACTAACGTGCCTTTGGTCGCCGCTGGCCCATGTGACGACGAAGGCATTGTAACGAGCACCGGCGCAAAAGAGGAGGACGAGGAAGGTGAAGGTGTGGTGACCAGCACCGGAAGGGGAAATGAAATCGGGCATGCGTCCACCTGCACCGGGGCAGAGGAGGAAAGCGAGGGGGTATCGATTTGCGGAAGTGCCGAAGAAGGGGACGGTCAGATTGGTACTGCGGCAGGGTGCGTGGGAGCTGAGGCCGGAGCCACCGTCACCAACGCCAACGAGAGCAGTGTTGACAGCTTGAGCGGTGCGGAGAAAGGCATGAAAGATCCGGAGATCTGCTCCAGCGCCAAAGGCGTCGTGGAAAGCAGCGTGACCAGTGCAGCTTCAGGGAAGGGTGACGTGGCCCCAGTTCCCGGAGGTTGCGAGGCTCCCATGACCAGTGCAGCTTCAGATCACAGTGACAGTCTGCTCACCAGGAAGGAAAAAGTGGACGACACCACTACTTCCACTGGCTTGGTGGGGGGCAGTTACGAGGCACTCAGGTCGGGTGCAGGCCCACAATGTGAAGCTGGGCACATGTCGCCTGGTGGGAAGGAAGACGAAGGAATCATCACCTCTGGGGAAAATGAAGAGTGTGATGGCCTTCTGGCCACTACAGCCAGTGACACCATTACCAACCCAGCTGGCGTAGCTGGGGGCAAAAGTCCAGGCAAAGGCTTGCTGATTTCCACCAGCACGACAAACGATTGCACCCTTCAGCTAAGCACAGTTGCTGATGTACAGGAGGGTCATTCAAGCGCACTGAGAGGTGGGGCAGATGGGGAAGGTGCCGGCATAAACGGGGAAGAATTCGAGGCCCCCATGCCCAGTGCGGTGTCAGGTGAGAGCCAGCTGGCTGCCGTGAGAAATGAGGACAAAGACGAGTGTGCCATGATTTCCACGAGCATCGGCGAAGAGTTCGAGGTGCCGATTTCTAGCGCGACGACCCTCGCATGTGCCGAAAGTCAGCCGCCGGCGGCCGCGGCGGAGGAGAGTGCCAAAGGCGCCGGCTCGGCGAGCGCCGACGACTTCGAGGTGCCCATGCCCAGCGCGCCCACGCAAGCTGAAAGCCCCCTTGCCTCGACCAGCAAGGAGGAGAAGGACGAGTGCGCGCTCATCTCCACCAGCATAGCGGAGGAGCGCGAGGCCTCCGTGGCAGGCGCGCGGCCCGCCACCGCCCTGGAAGAGAAGGACAGCAGTGCCATCATCTCCACCAGCTCGGGGGAGGACTGCGAGGGCCCCGTGTCCAGTGCCGCCCCGCGGGAGGAAGGCCACCCCTCGGCCGTGCGAGCGGAGGAGGTCGGCGACACCGCCATGATTTCCACGAGCACCTCCGAAGGCCGCGAGGCGGTCATGCGGGGTGCTGTCCCACGGGATGATGAGCGGCCCGCCGCTGCAAGGACAGAGGACTCCAGCGACACGGCCATCATCTCCACCAGCACGGCCGAGTGCGTGCTGCTTCCTGCCGGCCTCGACAGGCACGAGGAGAGCCCGCTGACCGCCAGCGTCACCGACAGAAAAGACCCCTCGGCGGCCAGGAGGAGCCGGGGCGAGGCCCCGACGCCCAGCCCGATGGCTGCGAACAGCCCTCCACACCCAGCGCCGCCGCCAGGGGCCAGAGCCATGGGCCCCGAGGACCGTCCCTGCGAGGTGCCACTGGCAGTGACAGAACGGAGCGAGAGCCCTTCGCCCCTCATCGGCGTGGCAGAGAGGAGCACGTGGCCGAGCTCCATTCAGAGAGGGCGGGGGGGCCAGGGGGCCGCCGCGGCAGGGCATGACACCTGTTGGGCAGGGAGGGGCGAGCAGAGGGGAGCGGGCACACCCGAGGATGGACAGGGGCGGACGGCCGGGGACGCCTCCCTCGGGAGCCGCTGTTTGCCGGCAGTGAGTCCTGGTGCCGGGAGGGCCGACAACCTGCCTCCTGTCCCAGACGCTGCAGCGCAGCCGCCCTCTCCTGGGCACTGTGGGGCGGCCGACCCCGGGAAAACCACCACCAGTGAATGTGTTAATGGCCGAGAGTCAGAAACTGGTCCTTCCCACGGGGCGCCCCTTCCAGCTGCCTGTGCTGTAGCTCCGTCGGCTCCAAGACATGAGCAGGACTTGACCGTGACAAGTGACCACAACGGCGGACGGACAATCCAAGGGTCCAGTGAGAAAGCAGGAGACGGTAGTGGCATGAGGAAATCATTCCAGGAGGAAAGAGACCTCAAGGTCATTGTTCCTCCTGAGGAGAATTTGCACGATATAGGTGAGACTCTCCCTAATTGCACATACTAGTGTTTTACAAAGGTGATTGCACGTAGAGTATGTTTAAAACCATCTTTCAAAAGGTGGTTTTGCTTCCAGGATGTCACAAAATAGCTTCTCAAGTAGGAAGATTGAGCTCAGAACCATGGGTTTAAAACACAAAACCTTAGACCCGTTTCTCATGTGCCAGGAGAGCAGAGGCAGGAAGCTGGGGGAGGGGAGGTCAGCCACCCGTGTGTGATGTGCATGACTGCTGCAAGCTACTAAACCTTGAAGCCTCGGGTTTTTGTCAAAATGAACACTACCTTACAACAGCCCTGTGAAGTGAGCATTTTCTTATCACTCCATTTACACATGAGAAAATAGGTTCAGAGAGTTTAAATAACTTGCATGGTACTTAGGGCCCTTTAGAAAAAAATTACTTCCGAGCCTTAGTTTTCCATCGTATAAAAGGCGGATAATAGTGCAAAAACAAACACGACTCAGCCCTCATCTAACGTCCTATAGATTTGCGATGAGTGTCAGTTCAGTCCGGCTGGCTACTTGTCATCAGGGGAGCACAGTATTTTTTAACGGAGTTTTTCATTCAGGTAAAGTGAGCTTCTGGTTTGGAATTTGAAAGACAAAAAGAAACGTGTTCCTTCCTGACAGATCTCAGAGAGTAGATGTTGGTAGAAACAGTTGGTAACTTTCAAAGGGGTAACCTTTAGGCTCAGTCATTCACTGTGCCATCCGACTTGGGACACCCTGTGCCAGCCACGACTGTGCTGGGCTTTGGGGAAGGGGAGCAGCTGTGAATCCGGCTTTGCATTTTAAGTAGGCAGGGACGCTCTGATGGCAGGCGCTTGGATGCTGTGGGAACTCAAAGGGACGTCGTGGGCTGGACCTGAGGGAGTCAGGGACGTCGACTTCTTTTCTGTGGGTGTGTGAATTAGAGTGTTCTGGACTTTTAAACTGCAACAGCCCTTAGATGTCATCAAATACAGCCTTAGGAAGCTGAGGCCAATAGATTGAGTCCTGTTCATTATAGGGACTTAAGGGGCATTAAGAAGTGTTCCAAGGGTTGAAATAAGGGACTTGAAATTTTTCCATTGCTTTTTGCCTGGGAAAATTGAGTGTTCTGCCAATTTTGTTTATTTTTGACAGAAAGACAGAGAATGAGTGGGGGAGGGGCAGAGAGAGGGAGACACAGAATCCGAAGCAGGCTCCAGGCTCCGAGCTGTCAGCACAGAGCTCGACAAGGGGCTTGAACCCACAGGCCACGAGATCATGACCTGAGCCGAAGTCAGACACTCAACTGACTGAGCCACCCAGGCGCCCCAAGTGTTCTGCAACTTTTTATGCATTAACCATTGCTACAGTCTGCTACTCCTTTCTCCCCTGCTTTGTTTCCCTGAAGGAACAAGATAGAAGAGGTTTGGGGCGCCTGCGTGGCTCAGTCAGTTGAGCGGCCAACTTCGGCTCAGGTCATGATCTCATGGTTCGTGGGTTCGAGCCCCGCGTCGGGCTCTGTGCTGACAGCTCAGAGCCTGGAGCCCGCTTCGGATTCTGTGTCTCCTTGTCTTTCTGCCCCTCCCCGCTTGTGCTCTGTCTCTGTGAAAAATGAATAAACGTTAGAAAGAAAAAAAAGTAGAAGAGATTTTTAGCAAGGAAAAGCCCGCATCCTCTTAGAGAAAGGAAGGATTTTCTTTGGAGGCTTCTGTGCGGGTGGATGAAAGAACTGGAGGCCACAGTCACAGAGGGACGAGGGTGAAAGAGGAAGGATCACAACAGGGATAGGACTGAGTCTTACCAGAGAATATGCCATTTTCTTTCCTTCTGCCTCCCGTTTTCCTAACTTTATTTTCAACTCTGCTGTGTCAGGGTGAAATAAGCAAAGTGAATCTGTTCATAAACATGTTCTTTGTTGAGAATATAGCTCAGCGGCCCAGAGTTTTTTCTTTTAGGGCCAAACTTGATGCAGAACACTGTAGAAAAATATTTGGAACTATCACGTCTCCAGAAATAATCTTCTGTTATTCTTTCTGGGCAGCCATCTTAACAGCAAGAAACGATTTCACCCCCAAACTTAGCAAACGACTCCTGCCTTTCAGCCACGATTTTTCACACGTCCTCCTTTTGTTGTTTTCTACTGACAGCAAAATAAAACAGCGGAGGAAGGGGTCACGGCAGGCTAGGGAGCAACATTGTTACCTTTTGATTCAGCATTTTTTTTTTTTTTTTTTTGCAAGCAAATTTTTAAGTTGGTTAACGGTTTGGCTTTCTTTAGGCACTGAAGAATCTCCGTCGAGTGTTTTGGGAGGATGGGCACTGAAAGGCAGCTTGAAAACTGAGGTATGGCTGACAGTTCAGTTCCACTGGGCTGCACGTGGTGTAAGTACTATCTCACCACGCGTAGACGTGTGCGTCCTTCAGCATCACACGGCTCCTGTTCCCACTGTACTTTGGACGTTTACACGTTGTCATGGTCGTGTCCTGTGCAAGGAAAGCTAATAATCTCAACACGTAGTGCCATCATCAGTTCCATGTACTCAAACCAGGAGTCACCTGCAGTCTCTCGGTGTCACCCTACATTTAAGCCATTGCCAGTTCCTACGCGTTCCATGTCCAAAATGTGACTTGAATCTCTGCAGCCGGATCTCACGGCCCCCTCTGAGTGTGTGAGACAAGGTAGCAGTAAGCACGGGAACGATGCACAGTGCAGAGGACGGTCAACTTACCAGCAGGAGCAATGGTGCGCAGACAGGAGGGCTTGCAAAGAAGACATTTGAGAGGTGGTTCACAAGCAGAGTAGGGGTTTACCAGAGGGGAACGAAATGGAAAAGAGCCTTGCAGACAAAGAAGTATGTTCTGGACGTGGAGCAGGAGGGCAGTTGTGAGCCCCAGACCCCGCAGTGGGGCGGGAATGGAGGCCTGACGAGGGAGGGGACGTGATGGGGGCAGGGGGTCGTCTTGTGTGTCGTATTACGGTGGCGTTTCACTTTTAAGGGGACAGGGCAACCACTGATGGATGAAATATGAGATTAGACTGACTTTCGTTTTCAAAGTTTGGCATGTGTTCGCTTTCAATTCTGCACAGACTTGAACGTGGTCTTTTATATTGTTACAAGATGCAAGATGCCTTCATTACCTTGAGGTTAGTCTTGCCTTCTTGTCATCAGAACCTCAGTTAACTTAGTGTTTTATGGTGCTTTGGACTTTTTAGACATTTGTACCATCAGAGGAAGAGAAAACCCAGGAAATTCTAGCAGCACCAGAAAGTCTGCATGGGAGACAGTCAAGTGGAGCAGGTAAGCCCTTTTAAGTGGTTGTCCATGTTACTGTTTTCCTGGTCTACAGTTTTTACTTTCTGTTGCAGCTTAAAATCAATAGCTGATTCATAATTATAAAACACAGGCTATATGAATTTTCCTCTCACTTTTTTTTTTTTTATTTTTAAAAAAAATTTTTTTTTCAACGTTTATTTATTTTTGGGACAGAGAGAGACAGAGCATGAACAGGGGAGGGGCAGAGAGAGAGAGGGAGACACAGAATCGGAAACAGGCTCCAGGCTCTGAGCCATCAGCCCAGAGCCCGACGCGGGGCTCGAACTCACGGACCGCGAGATCGTGACCTGGCTGAAGTCGGACGCTTAACCGACTGCGCCACCCAGGCGCCCCTCCTCTCACTTTTTAAAATAGGTTGGAGAGAGTTCTTTCCTATTTCATTTTTAGCATATACTCTTTCTTATTTTAGCATATACAGTTTCTCATCAAACTGACTCTTTGTCAGTTTCATGTAAGGTACTTGTTTAAATCTCTTCTTACCAAGTAAGTGTGCAAGGAGGCAAACTCTTGCTCTTTCCCCAGCACGTGGCTCCCTGCACCTTCCTGCCACGGAAGATGCTGTCACAGGTCCTTTCCAAAAGCTGGAAAGCTCGTGCATCCCTTCAAAGCTCTGCTTGTTGTCCCTTGGACTCTGGCTGGGCCCCAGCGAGCACAGAGCTGCTCCCGGCACGCACAGGCTCCTCCCGGCCTCTGTGCGCTGTCTCCAGGGTCCACTGCAGGCTTCGTAGGAGAGAGCCCCAGGATTTACAGCAGCTCCCAAACTCTGGTCTCGGGACCCCTTTCCATTCTTAAAAATTATTGAGGATCCCAGACAGCTTTTGTTACGTGGATGATACCCATTGGCATTTATCAAATAAGAAACCAAAACTGAGTTAATATCACCAGCTCACTATAGGTTAAGCACAAGTAACATTTTTTTCATGAAAAATAGCACATTTTCCAAAACGGCAAAATGTGCCAAGAAAAGTGACGTTGTTTTGCATTTTTGCAAATCTCTTTAAGTCTGGCTTTAATAGAAAGCAGTTGGTTACTCGGGGCTGTTTCTTTATTCAGTGTATTGCTGATGCTGTCTTGATTGAAGTATATGAAGAAAACCCAGCATCACACTTAAATGGTCGGCTTTTAATAGCATTTTCAGATAATTCTGGGAACATTACATGGCCTCTAGAAAACTCCATTGTGGACTCATGAATTTAAAAAGTTAATAACATCTTAGTGTGTTGACAATAGTTTGGACCTTGTGGACCCCTTGATGGAAGATCTCAGGAGTCCTAGGAGTCCTGGGACCACACTTCGAGAATCACTGGGTTAGGGAAATAGATATGAGAATGGTGACAATGGACAATTATTTCTGGTTTGTTTCTAATCAGTACTGTAACATCTCTTCTGGTTTGCACATCAACCAGGGAAAAAGATACTAGGAACTTGAGAGTATGTGACCAAATTTAAGTCTGTTCTTTTTTGTTTGTTTTTAAAAGTTGGAATGTCCATATAAGCCACGTAGAACGGTCAAGGCGATTTTGGTTGCAAGTAACAGAAACCCTACCAATGTTTATGGGGAATGTGTGCGCTCAGCATCTTAGGCAGTTCAGCTGCTAGAACAGAATTCCATAGACTGAGTGTTGAAGCGACATATTTATTTTTCATGGTTCTGGAGGCTGGAGGTCCAAGTTCAGGGTGCCAGCATGGTCAGGTTCTTGGTAAGGGCTCTCTTTCTGGTTACGTTCTCACATGTATGCCTGCAGAGAAGGAGATTTCCTACCTCCTCTGCTCTCCACAAGGACCCCACTCCCATCACAGTGTTCCACCTTCATGGTATTGAAACCTCCCAAAAGCCTCACCTCCAAATACTATCACACTGGGGACTAGGGTTTAAGTATATGAATTTGCGGGGGACTCAAACATCCAGTCCATAGTATTCACACAACTGCAAAGTTCAGGCAGAGCAAGATCTCGGAGCATGATGAGGTCCCCAAAGACCCAATTTCTTCCCTTTCCCTCAGCCCCCTACAGAGATAATTGCTTTCTCATTTGTGAGCCTTCAGAGAAATATCGTTGTCCTGTCATTCCTGGCCAAAATCCTGAGACTTACTCTGATTTCAGCTTACATACCTTTGTCCACTCTAAACTAACTGCTATGACCAGATGAATATGATTTGCTGGTTGACTCAAAGTGAATCAAGTGCTCTCTGTTCCTGGGGTAAGAGTAGAGTTAGTGTCTTTGGAAGCACGTAGTATCCGAGACCACAGTCTGAGTTCTTGGAGAAGGGGATAGGAGAGCAGCTGTTATATTTACTATGATGACCTTGGCTCTTTAAATTACTCCCCCAACAAACATTAGTAAGCGGGTTCCTTGTGAGTACCAAGGAAATGGAGGTGGAGAATGTGGTTCCTGTGCTCAGGGAGTTTGCAGAAGTAACTGCCAGTGAGGAAGGTTCTCTGTGTAAGAATACATGCATGACCGGTGGGGCTAGCTCTGCTGGGAGGGCCTTGGGGAGGGCCTGGCTTTAAGCTGAACCAGTCTCTCTCTCCCCTTTAATTATAGAAAGTAAGATACATAGAAGTGCATAGCAAGGTTTCCCACATTTCATGATACCCACCTTAAATACAATTCTGTATTTAAACAAAGATGAAATCATAGTATTTGTAGTGTTCTGTAATTTCTTTTTTAACTCAGTGTTAGCATATACAGATTGACTTCATTTGTTTTAACAGCTGAAAGTAGTCTGTAACGCATTTTCCCATTTGTTAGAGCTTTAGTGGTCTCCAGTTTTTATGGTTTTTACTATTATAAATAAAGCTGCGATGAACTTTCATAGGCATATAGTTCTGTGTTTCCCCCAAGTATTTCCATGAAAGAGAATCGAAGGGTCAAAGAATATAGAAGGTTTAAATTTCCGTAAGTGCTGGTCACTCCCCCTAAGTTGAAGCCAAATTATGGAAGGATGAGCAGGTGTGCATTAGGTAGACAAGGCGACGGAGGAGGACGGTGTGTTATGAGCAGTGTGTGTGGATCCTCACCCAGGACTGTCCAGAGTGGTCAGAACAGGGACCCTCCAAGGCAAAACCATCTGAAGGCACAGCCTCCAGAGTATGTGATCTCAAGAGCCTTATAAGCAGAAGTATCAAATAGTCCTCGGGGATCACCCCAAGACCTGAGAAGCTATTCATGGTGACATGTTAAAAACAGTGACTGGGGCGCCTGGGTGGCTCAGTCGGTTGAGCGTCCGACTTCGGTTCAAGTCATGATCTCACAGCTCATGGGTTCGAGCCCCGCGTCAGGCTCTGTGCTGACAGCTCAGAGCCCAGAGCCTGCTTCAGAATCTATGGCTCCCTCTCTCACTCTTTGTCCCTCCCCGGCTCATGCTCTGTCTCTCTCTCTCTCTCTCTCTCTCTCAAAAATAAATAAACGTTAAAAAAAAAAAAAAAAAGTGACTAATTTATCCAAAACCTAGATGCGTTAGTTAAAATTGGTCTGTATGTGTTAGAGTACAAATAATTAACATCCCCTTGTTAATTGTCAAGGTGTCGTTTTTGGATTCTGAAGTCTTTTTTCTCACAGTATAATCCAGATGACTTCACTGTGTTTAGGTACGATTCAATAAGAGATCTACTTACGTAAAAGGAAGTTGTTTAAAAGAAAAATGTGTGTTCTGTCATTGTTGAGTAGAAACAGTAGACCTTGTACTTCAAGTTTCCAGAGAATATAAATAGACCATTGCTGTTTGAAGGGATAGAATCAGACTTTTTGCTTGATGACATTATTTTTAAATGAACCCGTGTCACTTTGCAAAGGTCTCCCTTTCTTCTAAGCTTCAGATCACCAACATAGTTAAATAGCTGCAGCGATTTGATGGACCACTGCCATTATTATAAAAATGCAGACAACAATAATTCCTGGTTTTCTGGCATAATGGCAGACACGAATTGTAGAAAACAATTGGTCAGAATCTCATAGTTCACAAGGCAGCTAGGCCACTTAGCGGCATAGCCCCTACCTTACCCTTCTCAATTTGTTTCTCTGTGGTTCAGAAACCGTATTCGGTGTCCTTATTTCTCATTTTTGTTTTTGAACAGCTGGACCACAGGGGGAGCCTTTCTCAGTGAATGAATCACTTAACGTAAGTCACCGTCATGGTTTGGGTTTTGTCGTGGGGTCTGGTGTTCTGAGAGCAAATGTATAGGGGCGTCTCGCAGAAGGGCAGTCCTGTGCATTCTTCAGGAGACAGGAGGCTGCTTGTAATGTGCTCTCCACTCGAGAGCAGCACACTGACTGCCAGCCAGCGTTCAACTGTGTCCCCTGATGTCGTGAAATTTAGTTGTTTTCCTCAGAAGGAAAGGGTCTCCCTGAATTCAGCAGTACCGCGTGCTAGTGACTCCTTAGACCAGTGTCTTGAAGCATTTAAGGAAACAGAAGAAGGCCTGCGTACCTCAGACTAGGAAACTCACCTGGTAATTACTAATGCAATCCTTCAAAGAACTATGAACTTTCTATTTTTTATGAATGGTAGCAAGTTTGATCATTGGATTGCGGCGTCTGAAATTATCCTGGTGCTGTGGACAAAACCGTTTGAAAACTACAGGGCGTTTTATGTTTGGGGAGAGCTTTTCTGAAGATACTCAACTGTGATTGTCGTGCATACGTATTCTTTCCCAGCTGTGGCTGTCATAATCCCTTTTGTGCTGGGAAGAAATTTTATGTCTCTCTTAACGCACAAGGGACCTGATAGGGACCTGATATCTTACCAGGAGAGAACATTTTGTAAAATGCTTGCAAGTTGCAAAGAGACACGTTCTTGCCAGTGCCCCCAGAGAACTGGGGGAGCTCTGCACCAGCAGATATCAGAGGGCTAACTTCACCTCTTTGAAACATCCTGTATGGTAGCTGAAAACTCCTCCACAGTCAGCTGAGTGAGAAGGAAGAGAAAAAAGCCCACTGGGTTTGGTTCAGCTTTATCCTCCAAAAGGATTCCAAATGTGGAGGCCTCCACCCCGCCTCATTTCCCTGAGGCCCCCCGGCAGCTGCCTTTCCCCAGTGAGGGCATCACTGTCCTTTCCAAGTATTCATAAAGTTCTGTAGCTAAGATTTCGAATGTTGTAGGGTATTCTAAGACTTCCCTCAGCTAAAAAAATAAAAGCACAATTGACAAGATTTGCCAGAGAGAGATGATGACAGAATGACAGAATCCTTCAGCATTTTTAAATAAAGAGGGGGGAAAAGGTCATGAGGGATCATTGGATGGGAAGAGAATTCATAGAAATCAGAAAATTCTTCTTACCTCTTACACTTTTACCATAACCATTTAAAAAAAATTTTTTTTTTCAACGTTTATTTATTTTTGGGACAGAGAGAGACAGCATGAACGGGGGAGGGGCAGAGAGAGGGAGACACAGAATCGGAAACAGGCTCCAGGCTCCGAGCCATCAGCCCAGAGCCTGACGCGGGGCTCGAACTCCCGGACCGCGAGATCGTGACCTGGCTGAAGTCGGACGCTTAACCGACTGCGCCACCCAGGCGCCCCTCCATAACCATTTTAAAGACAAGGAGAGTAAACACAGTGGGATGATAATTTGTTAAACCAAAACTTCTTCAAAAGCACTCTGCTCTTATGCCTCTGGGTGAAATTTATTTTTTAAACTTTTTTTTTTTTTTTTCTGGGTGAAGTTTAGTTTTTGAACTTTTTTTTTTTTTCTGGGTGAAATTTGAGCATGTGTTCTAGTCCATTTCAGCATTCCCACAGACTACCAGATTGTGCCCACTATCTTCCTTATTTGTTTTCTCTGCCTTTAAGACTTTGGTGACACAATCCATAAATAACCTTTCCTATGGTATGTTTAGGTCAAAAATTCAGGCTCCAGAACAAATGAAGAAATTCATGGCAAATCTCATAACCAAGAAGGTAAGTTAATGAATTTCGTACTATTGACGTTAGTATTAATTGTGGTTACCGTTTGTCGAGGGCCTTCTGTCTGTCAGGCCCTGTGCTAATTACTTCACAAAGTCGCTCTTACTCAGGTCATATCATTTGGTAGGTGTTAGCAGCATCACTTCTGTAGCTGAGGAAACTGAGGCTTGGAGAAGTCCAGTGTTTGTTCAAGGCCCTCTGGCAGATAAGTGAGTGGTGGCTTGCCGTAAATAGCTGCTAGAACTTTGCCGGTAACTTCACAGTGGACTTAAATCCGGCGGGAACACAAATCCGGCGGGAACTGTACTGTAAGAGCAGTTCCTAGTACTTGTGCTCAGTACTTGTGCTAAGTACCTGTGTTGCCTTCAGACAGACAGTCCCAGTTTGGTAGATCAGGGGTGTCACGGTTATGTGGCTCTTCTCCCGGGAGTCAGGCCTCCACGAAACCTATGGAGGCTGCCAATTGCAGAGGGATTATTCTCCTCTCAAGCAGAACATAGACTTTAGTCGATTCCTGCTGTGGGCACCTTACTCCAAGAATGGGGAAAGAGGTATTTTTGTAACACGTTATGTACCGTGTTTCAAACCAAAGTAAAGCAGCGGTAATTCTACACACTCAAATACTCAGCACCTACTTTTGTCATATCTTAAAATTTGGTATATCTGCTCTATCGGCTTTTTGGAAAAAAAAATGTTACAGATAGAATTGAAATCACATTAGTATTCCACTCTGGGACTAGACCACCTTCATCCTGTTTTGCTTTGGTTGGTGGACGTTTGGGTTCTAGCAACTTTTCCCAATTACGAAGAATGCCGCTGTGCCGGATCTTGTACCTGTTTCCCAACGCGTAGTCGTGTGGCTGTGACTTGGGTGTGCAGTTGCTGAGCGGCTGGCCGCCTCCTCTGCTTCACAGACTGTGCCCAAGTGTCCCTAGGTGGTGTACCAGTTATAGCTCCACATCGTCTCCTATATTTAGTATTATCAGACTCAGGAATGTTCGCTAATCGGAGGACTGTGAAACAAGGACTTGTTTTCCTTGGATACGTCTTCACAAGATGTTGCTACATGAGCTGGAGGAAAATGGCGCTACTCTGTGTAGAGTCCAGTGACCTTCATCCTTCCACAAACCCATTTACTCACGTTTTACAAATGGAAATCACGGAGCTTACCTGACGTAGTTGCCGTGAGGACCCCGTCACAAAGATTTATGAAGTCCTTCCCCCTGCCACGCACGCCCCTCAAATAAGTACCGGAATGAATAATTTAACCTTTTTTTTCTTTTTTGTTGTTTATTAATCAGAGATGTCCAATGGCAGAAAAGACAACACAGAAGCCTTAAGAGATCACAGTGTTGAAGCAAATCCTAAAGAGGTGAGTTTTCATAAGAAACTCAAGTATTTCACGGTTTGTACCTAGTGTTTTCACTGGTGCACGGAGAAAGGCTTCACTTTTTTGTATGTATTAAAAATTAAATGAATCTCCGTATCCCTTTTATCTGTTTATGCTCTTGTGTTGTGTAAGTAGTTACTGGGATGTGTCCACGTTGTACAGTCAGGAAGGTTAAGTGTTACTTCATACCCTGCCTTTCCTTGGCTCTTTTCTGGGCCACTGAGGAGGAGAAGAGCCCTACCGATTCATTTATGACATGCCATTGATTGTAAGACACAGCTGGACTTCAGGGATGGTAAAAACGAGAAATACTTCTTTAAGAACATATTTTAAAGTTGTTGGATTACAGTATCTAACCAGAAACAGATTTAGATGTTTCGTATGGATTTACATTCAGATCCAAAAAAAAAAAAAAAAAGACTCAGGCTCACAAAATAAGTCTCATCCAAATCTAGATGCCAAAAATGCTATCCTAGATTTAAAAAAAAAAAAAAAAAAAAAAAAATTGCATGAAAATTTATTTCAGAGGCTAGAAGCTAATATAATGTGCTGTCATTTCAATAGATGTGGTCCCAGATTGTATTGCCTTTAATATAGTCATTCTTCATTCCAGGTTGAAGAGGAAGAAAGGCAGATGCCTAAAAGAAAAAGAAAGAAGCATTACCCCTCTTCAGAAGATGAACAGGGTATGTAGAATATATATGTTCCTCTTTTAGACATCTTTGAAGATCATATTATTTTCACATCCAAAATACTGGGCAAACATCCTAGAAAATTTTTGAGGGTGATAATTACTTACTTTACAACTCTTGAGTCCAGTTTATGTCCAGACTGGCTTGGCACCTCAAGGATTTTTCTGGACTTGATCTAGAAACTACATGCAGAAGACCCAATCACTGGGACTGACATAAACCCTGGGTTTTATGGGTCCCTCTGTAACCTGTGCCTGGACCCTGCCAGGGGCCACCAGTTTCTTTATTTTATATCATAAACAGATGCCCCACAGAGCTCGTGAAGTGTGTTAGTGAAGCTTAAATGCAGTAGCCCTTCTGTGCTTCATATTGTTGACTTTCCCACGGTCTGTAACAGTGCCATCCAATAGAACTTGTTGCAGGGGTGGAAATACTCTGCATTTGTTTTGTCTAGTACAGTAGCCAGAGCCACATGTGGCTGGCTGTTGAGCAGTAAAATGCCGTCAGTGTGAACGGAAGACTGGATTTATAATTTCATTCAATTTTAATTTAAATTTCAACAGCCACGTGTCGCTAATGGCTACCGTATTGGATGGTACAGAGACTGATACCTGACACAAAATAGAAATGCAATAAATGCTTATTAAATAATATGTGAGAAAGAATATGTGAAAAAGAATTTCCTTTTTTGGTTAGGAGCATGTAATTGTTTTTTAATTCTCGAGTTCATATTTTAGGCACCATTCATGTTATTTTATACACGTTCATAATAACTGTGTGAGTTAGGCATCATCACCATTTTGTAAATGAATTTGTAAGTGAAGGTTTGGCGAGACGATGACTTCATTCCCACCAAGTAAATCTGATTCCCAAGCCCGTGGTCTTAATCCCTAAACTATACCTTCTAGGTGGTAACTCATTGAGGGTGCTAACGTATCTCCAGGAACTCCGTGTGCCCTAAGCCCTTTCCATGGAACCTGCTGCTTTTTTGGTGTCATCTGAGCACTTGTGGATTTCTTGTTTTATTTTTTATATTTTGCTTTCCTGGTTTTGCCAGGGCCACCATCAGTGTTCAGTGCTCAAGTCACGTGACATAAATACATTTAGAGTAACTTTTGGGTTCACTATATCACAAGACTAAAAAAGAAGCCTTAAAGTGTCTTAAAATAGAACTATGCATTTCATTTTTCATTTAGCTTTTACCCCTTTGTGATTCTGTCCAAACTGATTTACAGATGAAAATCCAGATGTCCTAGATTCCAGAATAGAAACAGCACAGTGTTCTGAAACTGAGCCGCAAGATACAAAGGTATTTTTTTCCACATATTAATTTTAGATTTTGGGGGCAACCTAATTACATCACTGTGAATACTTATTATGATCTTCTTTCTCATTCTCGTATCCTTTTTACTTCACGTATCTGTAATAGTCACTTTATCATAAAAGGTATATTTTTTAGGATCCTGCAAAACAACAAATACTGCACTTGATCATTTTAAGCTGTAAGGGCAGTAACATCACAGTTTATATGTAACCATTGCTGAGGTTTCTGTTCAGTCATATTCACTTACTTAAGGTTTCTAGGTGTTTTCTTCCAAAGTGTCATATGCTACCGATGTGCTTGCACCAAAACATTGAAATACAGTGACGCATCACGTTATTTTAAAAATTCAATATTCTGCCTTCTTCTTTACTTCCTGGACTTAAAATAGAAGTAGTCCAAGGATTGGCCTCACCCACTGCCTCTCGTTCACATGGTCTTATTCTCCCCTGAGGACTCAGGGAGGCGGCTCACAAATTTGTATTTCTGCCCTTGCTCTCCAGGCCCCCGTTTCTGCATTTCCTGGCGACACCTCTTCTTGGGCACGCTTCCATTTCTGAGACTCAGTACTGCTTTTTGTCTCTTCCAAACTAGTTCCGTCTCCCTGTTCTCTCTTTCCCTAATTTATTTTTTCCACTTTGTTCCAGAAGTATTGAAGTCAACTTATATCAATACATGCAGTTGAATTCTAGCTTAGTAAAACCAGTTCAGAGTCTCTCTTTTCTCCCAGTGACCAATGAACTAAATAAAAAGTAATGGCAGGATTTTAAGAACCAGAGAGGGAGCCATGTAATGTCATGAATTTCAATTGGTCATGGTGAAGGAAAGAAAGAGGATTTTAAGCGCATCCCTCCCCCTGCCCTGTGCTGAACAAGAATCCTGAGACAGTACACCTAGATTTGGAGAGACCAGGTTGAAGGGGTACCTTTATATTTTCCCTTCAATTTCATGTAAGTTTTTTCATGTTACATTTTTTTTTTTTTTTAATTTTTTTTTCAACATTTATTTATTTTTGGGACAGAGAGAGACAGAACATGAACGGGGGAGGGGCAGAGAGAGAGGGAGACACAGAATCGGAAACAGGCTCCAGGCTCTGAGCCATCAGCCCAGAGCCCGACGCGGGGCTCGAACTCACGGAGCGCGAGATCGTGACCTGGCTGAAGTCGGACGCTTAACCGACTGCGCCACCCAGGCGCCCCATTTCATGTTAAATTTAGGTCAAAGATACCAACCATTTTCACTAAAAAAATCACATACCGATAATATTTTCAATGTTGTAAGACAGAATTCCCATTTTATATTTTAATTTATGTGGTTTTGTTTACGTACTATGGGAGTATTACAGTATCGCATTTCGACGTTTCTTGCTCAAAACGTTTTTGCCCCTAAGGGATGACTTCATGTGTTGCGAGATCATTGCTCTAAATCAGCCCAGCTGGATCCCCCCAGATTCTCGCGGGCACTTTCCCCTTTATCCCTCCCCACCCCACCCCCTACCCCCTCCTCCACCTCCCAACGAACAAAAGAAATCTGTTGCAAATTCCTATCAGTTCTTCTCTGGAGGTTCTCACAAACAGCCAAAATCCAGCCTGAGGGAGGAAGAGTGATTTCTGTTTTGCAGGGAAAAAAGAATGGCCTTGTTGCTGTAGAGTCTAGCCTTATCTCCTGTGGGCCTACCTTGGGAATTTGTATCTTTTGGTATAGCCTCACTAGCAGCAAAAACAGTTACTTTTTAAAAATTGTGCAACAAACTTCTACAAAAACTCCTAGGAAATACCTTTTGAAATAGAAAGGAAAACTTTGGGAAGGACAAAAGGAGGCAGGGTGAGGAAGCTTCTGGTCTTGTTCAACCTCTCCATAGGAGGAGAACGCAGGAGATCTGGAAGAATTATCTAAAATGAGCTCTAAGACGAACAGCACTGCCTCACGGGCCACGGACGAAAAAGGTGAGTGATACACAGACTTAGATACGTTGTTGGGAGAGACTAATCCTTCCAAGTGTCAGCGTCTCTGTCCCCAGGCTTCGCTGGCCACAGCTGCAGATGACTCAGCTGTCCTTCCCGGAGAATCCAGTGGCTCACACTTCATAGCCCCAGGGCTTGGGAATAGTTTTGAATTTGGATCTTAACTCTACCCAAAGTATGCTTATCAGTTAGCCAGACTGCAGCGCCTTAACTTGGGCGGCATAGGCCTGAGGATGGCGTGTGCGCGCGTCGGTGACTGGGACCGTGTAGGCCACTTGGACGGGTGTGGTGGCGACGCGGCTGCCCGGGGTCCCCAGCAGTGAACTGAGCTGTGCTCTTTCTGCAGACGAATACAGTGGCGGGGAAGCTGCTGGCGAAAAGACGGAGCAGAATGACGATGACACGGTGAAATCTCAGGAGGTAAGCAGTGTCCTTCCTGTCTTCTTGTTCAGATACGCGAGTACTAACAAGAGATAGAGTGCGTTGAAGGCGATTACCGAAAGGTTTTGCCAGGTGCCTTTGAGGTCGTTCGTTTTTTCAGCGCGCTGGGCCGTTTCACGCCGCGCATCGTATCATCGGTGTCGTTGTGGTTAATCTTGTTCTCTTCATTTTCACTTCATTTCATCCGAACATTTTAAGAGACCTACTTCTGTCACGACCATGTAGGATCAGCCCAGAGCTGTACCTCAATGTTTAGGTCAGAGAGCAGGACTGCTGAGCCCTGGAGTCTAGACAGGGCGAAATGGGGACAGCACAGCCGGGTGCACAGAAGGCCCACAGCGAGTGCTGAATGGGACCCACTTTCAGGAGGGCAGGCCGACCTCCAGCCACATCCCCCTCTACTCTGGGGGATGTGCAGAGCCTGGGGCGGGGGTGCGGTGGAGGCAGAATCCCGCTGACCTGAGACAGGCCCATAAATCAAGGGAAACAACCTATACACCAGCCACATCCAGATGACTGTGACCAAGTTTGCCTGACTTGATACAACTTCTGAATAGTTCTCTTTGTTTTCTCACACTTGTGTATGAGAAGATCAGTGGCCTGCTTTATTTTTTTTATAAGGGATAACATTTGGTCACAAGTGACTAGGACTGAATCCATATTTAAGTGCACATATATGTCGACTGCAGAAGTAAAAGCTGACACTAAGCACTCACTTCCGTTAGCTCATCACCTAATCCCCAGGACTCCATGAATTAGTAGTACAGCTCTCCGTGTTTACAAGGTGACAGAATGCACGACTGGGAATGGAGCCCTGAGCCAGGTATTTGTTTTTAAGTGACAGAGCTGGGATCTGAGACCTGCGTCTTAGGAGAGAACTCTAAATCTCATTTGGAGACAACAACAAAATTTTATTGCTCTTTGTTTCCTTCCCCCCTTAGGAGGATCAGCCAGTAATTATTAAAAGGAAAAGAGGAAGACCCCGTAAATACCCCGTGGAAACAGTGTTAAAAGCAAGTAGGTATTTATTTTCATGTGTTCTCGGTTCACAGGAAAGACGTTTCCAGGGGGGCGTGGTTGGCTCAGTCGTTAGATTCTTGATCTCAGGGTTGTGAGTTTGAGGCCCACATCAGGCATAGAGCTTATGTAAAAAAAAAAAAAAAAAAAAAAAAGATATTTTCAAACTGATTTTCTAAGTGAGATTTTTATTTTTGTATTTTTTAGAAGAAGATTGCAAAACAGATCCTGGTGTTGTCACTGTGAGTAATTGCAGCACGTGAGAAATCTGGGAGCATTTGCTCTGGACCTGGATAGTATATACTGCAGCATTCGTGTTCTGAACCACTTTACTTTTTTTTAATATTTGGAAAGCATTGAACGAGTTCCTCAAATAGAATCCTGAATAACCATTTAAGTAACATTTCAGTTACCAGTAACTACGTAAACATACTGTTTTTCAGTCCGATCCCACCCTCACGTGTAAGTTTGGTTATATAGAAATTACGTAGGGACTTACCTTCTTGTCATCCTTGATTAAGATGTAGAAAATGGCTGTTGTATGTGATTTTTAGATAATGGCTTCTTTATGGAAACCCTCACTGTGTCTCACCTGTTACTACTCCCTATGGAGTTCCTTTCATGATAAAATGCACCCTGATATCAGTGCAGGAAAATCCTCAGCGATACTTTATCTTTTCTTTGTCTTTGGCCCTGACGTGTACCGTCCAACAAAATCATTGCATCAAGACTTCACTGCATGAGTTTCAAGGGCAGCATTATTAGAAGGACAAACACACGTCCAGTGTTTTAACAAAACCAAATGGAACTGGAGTCTCCACTCTGCCACTTCCTGCCAGAGCTGTGCACTAGGCTAGTGATGTGAGCCTCCAGAGACTCCCGTGTCTTTGGATGTAAAGAACCATAACAGTACCTGCCGTGCTTCTCTCAGTAGAGTTATTAGAAGACAGCAGGACCGAGGAGCCACGTGTGAATGCACTTTACAACGTGTAAGATGGTTTGCCCGAGTTGGGGAATATTAACAGTGGGCCATGCCACGTCCCCTCCGGTGCTCCTCTCCCAGCATAGCAGCAGAGCGGCCGGGGACGAGGCTCGTGGCAGCCCCGGTCCTCCTGTGGAAAGACCATGCGTTCACAAGCACGGCATCCATGTTCTCTTGGTAGACCTAGCCAACGACAGGAGACAGGTTCCACAGATTCTGCCCACATCGTAGCGATCTTGAACCTTCCTTACGTAATTGCTGACTTTCTTGGTGGTGACAACTAACTGCTGACTTCAGTTTTTTCTTTGTTTAAATTTAGGTAGAACAGTCTCCACCTGGCAGCAAACCAAAATTAACACAAGCAGGTATGCCTCGAGCGTTGCTCTGCACGGGATCTAGGGACAGAGCGGAGGCGGCCGCCTATGGGGGAAGGTTTCAGAGTTTCATTGTTTCTCAGTGAAGTGGGTTTCAACAGTTGCCCTCGTAGCCCTTGGGAGACTCTTGCTACTGGCCTCTCTTGTGACAGGAGCCCTTCTTGGCTTCAGGCTTCTTGAGGAAGCCTCCAGAGAGGAGGGTGAAGGCAACCAAAAGTAAAAGAGGGGCGACACTGCCGTGTCCAAACCATAATTTACTAGGTATGTTTAAGGAAGAGATGGGTCAGGCTGGGGACTGGGCATTCGTACCAGGAAGATAGGAATTGATATTCAAAAGCCTGTTGTTCTCACACAGTTTTGAAAGTAGCCTGTGCAGTTCTGGAGGCAGAGTGCAAGAGATACAATTGCTTCCGTTATTTTGGTCCCCGTTCCAAGGAGAAAAATACTCCAGAATGTTGACAGTGATTGGCCCGGGGTGGTGGGATCATGGGAACATTCCGTGTTCTTTTCGTTACCTGCATTTTCCAGAATTTGTACAATGTGTATATATTACTTTCGTGGTTTAAAACTTTGTACTTAAAACCAACAAGACCCATTGGTGGGTTTTAAAGGATTGGCACAGGCAAAAAGATGAATGTGACCACGATTTGGGATCAAATAAACAGCTGGTTAGATCAGGAAAGTACATGTTCTCAGCAAGGTAAAGCAAATACGTGATTTAAAAACTTCTCCGCATTTAACTGATCACATTTGATCTTGTGATCAAATTCCGGTTTTTCTTGTCTCTTGGAAAATTAAGGTTGGCTGATTATTATTGTTTTTGTTTTTGTTTTTTTTTTTTTACAAAGGGGACTTCTTATGTTTGGTTTTTAACCAGTTTTTATTCATAATTTTATAATATTTTGAATCCATATAACAAGAAACCTTTATAACTTGAATCCCCTTGAAAGAGTCTAATCTGAGCTGCGTGATCAGTGGTTTGGCAGTGATTTTCTGAGTCTCGGTAACGATGGCCGGTTGAGGCAGGCTTCTCCACTGCCAGCCTTCTTGACATGACTGTTCCATCTACATAACTTTAATAACTTCAAACAGCGCCTTAAACTAAACTTCAGATACACCGTCAGAAAGCTGTAACATCTACAGGAAGCATGTATGTAAAGACCAGGCACGCACAACCTAAAATCGGCCTCTAATATGTGCTTTTCTCATTGCTCCGATATAACTGTTTACAGTCAGAGCATTCCAGCTAGCATGCACTTGTGATGTGACTCTGAACAAATTACTCACATCAAGTTACCTGGGCCTCATTTTTCCTAACTGTAAAATGGGTATTATAACAGGGAGCTACACTGAGGTCTCTGTGAGGTCTCTCGTCCTGATGCGCAGCTCCCTGTGTGTCCCGAGGTGTCCCAGATGTCCCTTTCCTCCTCCTTTTCTGGGTTCAGAGCATTCGAGCTGAAAGGGTGGGCTAAGCCAGGTCCTCAGCTTACAGGTGAAACACTGAGGCTTGGGGAATTTAAATAATTTTCCCAGATGGCGCAGGTGACCTCTGACGGGTCTGAAGCACAGATTTGGAGGTCTCGACTTGGATTCAGATGTACTTTCTGCTGGGTATTCTGACTCGAGCTCCGCTTGCCTGATACAAGATGGTGACAGCTGGGGTAACGGCATTAATCAGCACTGGTACATTCGGAGACAACAAGCCAGACTGTTGAAAATTGATTTTACACCAAGTATTAATGCAAAGATTTTCCTTTTCTTAAAGATGAGTCCAATAAAGAAACCACTACCCCACAAGAAAGAAGTACAAGCAATGTAAGTGTCAGTTTTCTCATCAAGGTCCATCCTTTAGGAATAAACTTAGTAAATGTTCAGTTAACCACCCTTTTCACTTTATCGTTACTGCTTCTAGGATGATGGTGAAGAAAAAGCAGTAGCGAGCGTGCGTCGGAGAGGAAGAAAGCCCAAGCGCTCGCTCACTCTGTCAGACGACGCTGGTATGTTTCTGGCACGTTCTTAATTGCGGAGTCTTACCATTTCAAAATCACCTTTTTAAGAGTTTTTCTCTGGATGAGGGAAAATCCAGTGGGGCACAGCTAGTATTAATATTACATAAATATGTGTGAAATGGCTCTAATCCCATGTCAGAAATGGTACATCCCAGATGCTTTTCTGAGTACATGTGGATTTTTCGTGAATGCTGGCTGTGAACTGCCTAAGTAAACTATCGCAAATGTGTTTGAGATTAAGTTAAACAGTTCTGAGTTGCAAGTGCTGAAACAAAAGGAAATGGAAAACCACTTCTTCTGCCTCCAAGTCCCTCATATCCTACGCTCTAAGCGCCATGACTCTCCTCTGGAAGTGTCTCGGGGAATTGTAGAATCCAGGTGTTACCCTTCTGTTTGAGCAGAATCTTCAGAGCCAGAAAGGAAACGCCAGAAATCAGTGTCTGAAGCCACCGAGGACAAGAAAGACCCGGAGTCTGAGGAGGACGAGGAAGAGGAGGAAGAGGATGAGCCCTCGGGAGCCACCACGAGGTCCACCACCAGATCCGAGGCTCAGAGGTAACGGGGGCAGAGAGCTTCCAAAGGCCTTCAGCAGCTTCTCCCGTCAGAAAGCAGCTTCGGGTTTCACGGGATTCTCTTTTCATTGACCCCCTCGTGCCGCGGTGTAAGCTGTGTCCTTTGCTTGCATCTTGAGCAGAGAGCACGTGCTCTCAGCCCTCGCACCCTGCAGTTCTCGGAGAAACCCTCCTTCCACCCTCACATTCGAGTCTTTGCCAGGGTCCCAAAGCCCGTTTGGTGGAACCCGTTCGGTCCCGGTACAGCTCCTTACTGAGCGTCACTCGGTGTCTCGGATTCCGTGCTGGGCCCGTGGGGGAAGGGAGGCGCGCACACAGGCCCCGTCTGCAGCCGGCTCAGCTCCAGCGAGAGAGGAGGCAGGCACACCCGTCACTGGTGAGGCGCGTGCAGCCGGTGGCCCGGACCAGGTTGACCGTGGGAAATTGCCCGCACGTGACCATTTTTTCCTCACATAAGTTACTTCATGTTTCCCAGAGTTCATTCTCCCAGGCCCCGGGTCAGCCAGAAGCCTCTGGAAGACAGAGTGCCATGGGCAAATGAGTTTTGGGAGTGCCAGTGAATTCTTTGTCCTTCAGGAGTCCCAGTGCACATGAGAATATCAAGGGCTTGGCGTGGTCCTAGAGGAAAGAAACCTGTTGAACTTTGTCTGAACAGACATTATTCGCCAGTTATACCCCCACCCGCACCTGTTAGTATCAGTCAGTGTTCTTTTCCCCAGGGCACGTTTTGAGACCTGTTGCATCACTTTATGGTTTATTAACCTACTAAAGCGAGAGTATCTTCCATGTTTAAGGTGATTCACAAGCCACTAATTGTGGTATCATCTTCTGTCCTTTCATTACCCAAGATTCAGCAAAAAGTTCAGGAACATTTATTTCAAGAGTATCACTTGATTATATCTGTCACCGTCGTATAGCAGTAATAGTGACGTGTGTTTACGTGAAGACTTAAAATCAACCTATTTCTTTTAGTTTTTTTTTTTTTTAATGCTTATTTTTTTTTTTTGAGGTAGAGAGAGAGCAAGCAGGGAAGGGGCAGAGGGAGAGAGAGAGAGAGAATCAGTGCAGAGCCCAGCACAGGGCTGGAACCCACGAACCGTGAGATCGTGACCTGAGCCCAAATCAAGAGTCGGACGCTCCACCGCCTGAACCAGCCCGGTGCTCCAAAATCACCGTTTCTGATCACTCCATACTTAACTCATCAGCAGCCACTGGCGCCACAGTTTGGTTTCTCCAAGAATCAGATTTCAGAGCCACAAGACTTCAGGAACTCGCATGGTGAAGAGAGGTGGCGGGTGGCCTCGTACTTGGTTTTTAGCTGGAGCAGCTCAGATAAGCAGAAGAGCCAGAGTCCGGTCCCCTGTGCGTGGGAGAGGGCGGGAAGTGGAGCGCAGTCCCCTGCATCGGGCTCAGAACCACTGCAGGGCCACCGCCTCCGCCGGGACAGTTGGGCCCGCCTCACGGCCAGTCTGTGGGCCTTCTTGTGGTCTCTGAGTGAGCGTCTGCAGGTAGCGGTCAGGTGTTTCGAATTCACTCTTTGAAAACAAACCTGACTCGACTTCGGATTCCGTGATCGCCTAGGTTGTCGGCGCTCTCCTTAACGTGCCTTCAGGGCTTCTGACTTACAAAGGGATTCTCTTGTCTTAGTTTCGATTCCTTGGCATCCGTTGATTGGTTCCAGGGCTCTGGCTCTGGTTAATTCCAGATGCTGGGGGTTGGCCGGGGTCTCCGTGGGTTAGTGCTGCTAACCTGTTGCGCCCGCGGCTCCTCTCGGAAGGCCTTCCCACGGCGGGGTCCTCGGGGGCGGGGAAGCCAGCCCTGCTTGGCATTCTGTTCCTTGTGCGCAGTAGGAGCTGGCCTCCCAGAGGCGTCTGCCCTTGTTCTGGATCTGCTCCGGGGGCTTCTCTCCAGCATTTCCCTAAACGCTTGTGGGCAACTTCTAGGTGTCCTCTTACTTTGAACCCCCTCATCATCCACGTGTTCCCCAGAGTTTCTGTGTCACTCCGGAGCACTTGCTCTGCACACGTGTCCTGCACAACGTGTGGGCTAAGGAACCCGGGGAGAGGATCGCCCCATCGTCCCTCGTAGGGACGCGCTGCAGCCAGCCGTGCGCCCGGCTCTCTGTTCCCCGCTGGAGCCGCACAGCAGCTCACACGAGCTTTCTCTCCCGGGCTTCCTGGCGAGCCAGCTCTCCGGTCCCCTGTTACCTGTGCAGACCGTTACTCGGCCCAGTCCCAGGGCCTCATCCGTTAGCCTTGTGACTTGTACTTCTGTGACTCTGGGCCCTTACTCTCCCGCGGGGAGCACTGTGGGGATTGCTGTCTTGTCAGCCAGTGTATTTGTTATTATCACAGATTCCTCTTCCTCTAAATCATGGAAAAACCTCCCACACAATCAAAGCAAATCCAGAGCCGTGCGGGCAGTTCGTGGTAGACGACATCAGGTCCACTTTTTACCATCGGTCCGGAAAACCAACCATTTTCTGCTTTTAGTCCCCATTCTCTGACTCACCCACGAGGAGCCTTGTCCTTTCGGGACAGGCCCCGGGACTGGAGTGCTGAGGGTACCACTGCCCGGTGTTTCTGTAATCTGTTTCAGAAAGCATCCTAGCAAGCCATCGGCACCTGCAGCATCCAAACATGGCAGCCCAGAGACAGTTTCTTCTAGAAATCGCCAAAAATTAGCAAAAGAGAAGTTATCTGCCAGCGAGAAAGTTAGTAACTCTCCCCCATTAGGAAGGTAAGTCCCTGCTTACACTCCAAGTCTTTTTTAATGCCCTGAGCCTATTTTTGGTACGATAATGTTTTCTTCCCAAGTTCCTTTAAGACCTGTCTTTTGGGTATCATTGGTTTCCCAAATGGAAACCTCCTCCAAAAGGAATTGGAGTGGCTGTGGAAGGAATGTCGGCCCTCCTACATGGACTTGCCCTTGACCCTTGTGCGCCTTCCCTGCCGGCTCCCGTCCACCAGGGCCGAGGGCGAGGCGTGTTTCTTCCCAGGTGGCCATGGGTCTGAGTGCTTGGCTAACCCAGCACAGCATGGTCGGGCATCTCATAGCCCAGAACCATTTGTGTTTTAGCCGGAGCGTTGGCGAGGCGATGGGGTAACGAGCAAAACGGCCGCTTCTGGCTCAGCCCCCACCGTCCACAGCCCCCTTCGTCCTGCCGCTTCCCACAGGCTGCGCCGAGGCCTCCTTTTTGGCCTTGGCTTGTGCTGGGTCTCCAGCCCCCTTGCCACCAGCCCCCAGTAAGCCAGGCACTGCCATCCTGACTCTCCCTCCTCCGGAGCACCGGGGGGGGGGCCCCCCCCGCTGCTTCGGTGTCTTTGCTGTCCTTCCTGCCGCACCTCTCGCCTGCTGTGCGGAGGATGGCAGTGGGTCCCCCTCGGACTGTAAGCTTCTTCCTTGAGATGCGGGGCGTGTCTTACTTTCCGTACGTCATCGCACCAAAGATAGAAGACTCTTCACGCTGTACAAAGGCTGTCGCGACCTGTCCCACAACAGTTTGCTTCTCACAGCATACGGGTGTGTATAATGTGTACATGCGCTGATATCCCCACGTCCTGGAAAGGGAAGCGGACTAAAGGGCCAGGCGCCTTTCACATAGATTCTCCATTTAATCCTCATTATGTGGGATGTAGTATTTATCCTTATTTCATCAGGGAGGGGATGAATCTCAGGAAAGTCTGGTCCGTGTTTCCCAAAGCGGAACTGCAGACCAATCATGGACACTTTTGCTAGGAAGAAGATTGCCAGATTGCCATTCTGCGGGGTGGGGGGCCGAGAGTCTGCGTTGCCGACAGCCCCAGGTGATGCTGGTGCCGCTGGTCACAGACCGCATCCTGGGGGGCCCACCGAGCCCCTCCGGCCGGGAAGAAGCACCCTGACCGAGAGCTGCTGTTCCCCGCCACATGGCATGGGGCACAGGCCCGGCATACACCGGCTGCCCGGCAAATAGGTGTTCACTTAGTGGCCGGCGGCTTCCCCGACTCGGCTCGAGGTGGACGTTCGCTCATGCGGGCCCGCCGGAACCGCGTCCCGTACAAGCGCAGCTGACTCCGTTTGAGTTCTGTCCCTGTGCCGTCAGAAGGACGATAGAGCAAACGCATTCTCCTGTCGGTGTGGCCCCACTGGTCCGCCCCTGCAGACTTGGCTTCCGTGGTGTTCTCCTTCCCGGGTAGCACACGGACAGGCGCGGACATGTGCCTGCGTACCCGGTACTGGACCCAGCGGCCACCCTGGAGAAGCAGCCTAGCGGACGCAGACGCGTGGACGTGATTTTCAACTTTCCTTGGCCCCAACCACGCCAAAACGGTTTTGCAGCATCACCTGTGTTCACATTCTGCCTCTATCACCGAAACAAAATTTTCGTGAACGAAATTTAATAGAAGCAATGCCAGTGGCATTTCCTATTGAGGTCTGTTCACGTGTCGTTCTAGAACGATGACTGTATCCTCTAGTTGGAAGAGAGCAGCTCGCTCTGCGATGACGACGGCTTCCCGGAAGGAGTTGCTTTTGAACTGGGGCCTAAAAACGCTCACGTGTGCTAGATGGGAGGTGTGGGTGATTCTCCAAGAATTCACATGTCAAAGCACGAAAACGTGAAGGAATGTCGTGTTTGGGAACGGCAGGACTTCGGCAGGACCGTAGCCCAGGGTGGTGTAGAAGTCAAGGGCTAACTGTAAAGGACTTTTGAATTCTCGGGATGACTTTATCTTGAAAGCCATCAGATAGTCAACAGGGACATCCATATAATACTAAACAGGACAGTGACACCATTCATTGAGGTTTCCAACAGATCATTGTCACGGCAGACAGAGCGAAGAGATTGGCCAGAATGCTCTTAGGAAATTCCAGTGCCTTTTTTTTTTTTTTTTTTTAAAAAAAAACGTTTATTCATTTTTGAGAGAGAGAGAGCATGAGCAGGCGAGGGGCAGAGAAAGAGGGAGACACAGAATCTAAAGCAGGCTCCAGGCTCCGAGTTGTCAGCTCAGAGCCTGATGGGGGGCTCGAACCCATGAACCATGACGTGAGCCAAAGTTGGACACTTAACCGACTGAGCCACCCATGTGCGCCTCCCCCACCCGCCCCGAACTCCCCCTCCGGTGCCTTTTCTACCATTGCCAGCCCTTCTCTGTAAACTGGCCCTCGCCCAGATGTAGTGGACAGCCCTGCTGGGGTCCCGCTGGCCGTCTCAACTCGGGGCAGTGCGTGGAGGAGGTTACTTTTCAGACAGAAGAACTAGGACCCAGAGAAGAAGGTGCTTGGACCCAGGCGGGCACCCGGAGCGTGAGGGAGCTGGAAGCAGATTACAGGCCTCCAAGCTGCCCTCGTGCCGTTTGTATGAGGCGGTCAGCAGATGACCAGTCAGCACTGCTCCCCCCTAGAGCTGCCTCTTCCTGCAGAAACGTGACCCGGGCTTTCTCCTCCTGGCTCTAAAGTCCAAAACCTCCCCTTGTTTAAAGAACTCCCAAGTTACTGAAGCCGTTCCCTTCAGCTCTCATCACTGCCTTGACTTTTCTTTCCTGCAGATCGAAGGCCCAGCTCTCCCCTCCTAGCAAGCGCAAGAGGGAGGCCAGCCCCCCCGGAGCCCGAACTAGAGGCCAGCAGAGGGTGGAAGAAGCCCCTTCGAAGAAGGCCAAGCGGTGATCCTGGCCGCCGCCGCCCCCTGGCTTGTGGAGGACACCGCGGAGAGAGGAGGGACGAGCCTCGGGGCCATAAGCTTTTTTTTTTTTTTTTTTTTTTAAACCAGGGAAAGGACATGCATGTGCTCTGAGTTTCTAGGTGCAAGCTTTTTCTTGTTCTGTTTTAAACAGCTTTATAAACTACTGTTCATAGAAGATATTATGTACATTTATTTCAGATAAAGGAAAATAAGTTTACTTTGTATCTGAACTCAAAACAAAGTAGTTGTATATTTTAACATGTGAAATTGGGATTTCCCGATGGGACACGTCACTAATGCGAACCCTTCCAGCCCATCAGACACCAGGCTGCCTACTGGTAATCTGTGTACAGTATATAAACATGTAAAAATAGGTTGTATTTTACTCTATGTATGATGCTAATCAATGAACACTTTATTTATTTTACAGAGAAAACTTATCTGTGAACTTTACTATATATCTGTTTATTTTATTTTATTATTTTTTTTTATAAAAAAAAGGGGTGGGGTGGGTTTCAATGCTATGCAGTCATCAGTAGAGATGTTTTAGGACGCTGCCTGCCTTGTAACTATATGAATATGACCCGGCAGGAAATACAGAATCTTCTCGCATGTATCCCAGTAAAGTAGTTTAGCTCCAGAAAGGGTCTGCATTGCTTTTCTGTTCACAGCTGTGACTGTTTTTAAGAATGTACCTTGTTTTTAGATTATGCTCGCCTCTGTGGCTCTCCTTCCAGCCCCACTGGCGTGCGAGGTCCTACATCCCGTCACCTGCAGCAAAAACCTCTCTGTCGGTGTTCATTCCTCCCCTCTGTGCTACTCCGAGGCTTTTACCCATTTTCTTTCCATATTGTCCTTTCTCGGTGACAAGAAATGCATTGAGATTAGGTCACTCCTGTCTATCGAGCTTCAGGATTTTATGTTGTTTTATACACGGTGATTTCAAGATAGAAACTGGCTTTATCGCCGGGTTCTTTTTTAAACATGTTTTAACTCCCATATGAACAAACTGTCCAACCTAAGTTTTTTCATAAGATTAAATTTTTCTTAAGATCAAATTTGTCTCTAGCAATGGATGTGATGAGTTGCCAAATAATTGAGATTATTTTAAAATGTTTTGTTCATATTGTTTTATAATTAAAATTTACATTCAGTGTGTGTGAACTTTTTTTTTTGCCTCTTAATGTAAGGTGGATATTTCTGTCATTTTACATGGTTTCTTACAAGATTTTATATATAAATTATAAGATGTTTCCAAAACTTGAGCGGTAAGATTTTTTTTTTTTCCCGTATTTTAAATGTTCTTCCTGTGAAAAACACTTCTTCTCTTCAAATACTTGGTGTTGGAGATACTGTTCCGTTTTCACTTTCAAATATGAGTCCGTGGTGGCCCCTCGGTAGAACTGAATGTTGGATCTGGAAGGGACCTTGGACACAAGAACAAGAGAGTTACTCGTTTTCATTTAAGTGGATGAATTTAACCAAAGCTCAGAAATGGAAAGTGGCTTCTCTTAGTCAAGGGAAGAAGCCAGAGTTGGTTCCAAGGCCCCAAAGTCCTGGAGCCACAGTCTCTGCACTGTGGGGTTTAGATTGGATTACCAGAAACACCTCAAACTGCATTCTCAGTGCGAAACCTGCGTATGCGGTTGGGTCACAGCCGTTCTGGGCATGGCCTGACAGCGATAGAGTCGTCGGACCAGGAGGAAGTGCTGCCTCTTTATAAAGTTGGAGCTAAATATCGGCACTGGGAAATGCAGTTTTCTGGTGGGAACTCAGCTAGGCCATTGTGGCTTCCAGTTGTTCTAAAAGCCAGGTAGGGAGGGGACACTGTCCCATGGGGCACCAGAACTACAGGGGAGCAGTTCTCTGTCATCACGATGATTCAGTCCTGCTGGCATTTAGTAGAAGGGAGGAGGTCAGAACGCTGAACGTTCTGCAGGGGACGAGACCGCCCTCGCCTCCACGGAAACGTCTGCGCCAAATGCCTGTAGCTTCCCCTGGAGACCCGCACAGACCGTCTCCGTGTTTGCCATCCCCTGGTCTCTGCCCAGCTACCACTGTCCCCACCACTCTCTGCCCCTCCGCAAGCAATATGAACACCAGCACATCGCGGAGCTGAGACGGCTGGAATAAGCCAGCAAGACTTCCCAAAGGGGCAGAAAAATCCCCTGGTGGAGAGTGATGTGGCTAATTCCTCTTGAGCTAAAGCTGGTCGTGCACGACCACAGTCCTTCCCTGCCTACTTGAGGCCTCTGCACGTTATGCCCCCACCCCCACCACCACCACCTAGGCTTTTTAAAGACTACAACCTACTAACGATGTCCTGCCCTAAGCACCCCAATTAGGAATGGCCATCTAGTGTTCCTCTTCCCGGCGAGATCTCAAAGTGGGTTGGTGGCAAAGTTGGGACTCAACTCTCCTAACCCCCAGGTCGGGGTTCTCCGTGCCAGGCCCCGTGGGAGGGGGGCACTGATGGAATTCAACAGCAGGCCCACCGACCTCAGGACCATCCTGTAGTGGAGCCCAGACATCGAGCGACTGGTCAACCTACTAACCGATTTGAGACTGGCAGTTGACAATTCGAACTCAAATGCTGAAAGGTTTGCTTGCTTTCTGTGATTTTCGTGTCTTCTATTCATCCTATGTGCAAGAGCACTTTACGTTTCCCCGAATTACTGCTTAGCCATCATTATGATGAAGTCAAGAATAAGGTGTTCTTCGCCATCCACGGACACCTCCCTGAGGCGAAGGAAATCGAGGGCCTGTCTTCCCATCGAAGCCACCGTGCTGGGGAATATGTATCTGACAAGCTCCTGCACCAGGCCTGGCACCAGGGATTCGAGTCTGAACCCAGGTGTTGAAGGGTGACATCAGTGAAACAGCTGTGCTGCACAGAGATTGCTGTCCAGGCACAGGACCCGGAAGGGGGAAGAGGGAAGCCAGATGAAGGACTAACTCCTGACAGACCAGAGGAAGAGGTCGTTATTTGCTTTCTTTTAAGTATAAGGCGAGTTTTCAGCAAGGTTAGAACCTAGAGAAGAGAACATTCTAGAAGCTGACGAGCAGGGTGAACTGGAGGCCATGATGGATGCCATCTTTACCGCCAGGTCAACTTTCCAGAAAGTTCCTGGAAGCAATAACTGTTTCAATAGCTCCACATCATACAAAGCACTAGTTCCAAGAGAGGCTTCCTCACCCTGCGGCCCTTCTGGAAAGTTCACTGGATGTATCAGCAGTGGACATAAATTTCCAAGAAATTAGGTTAGTTTATTTAACCCGGAAGTTACTAAACCCTAAAACCCCTGTTTCCGCACCCCAACGCACACACACACACCTGCACACCCAGAAACGTAATTCAACGTCCACGGAAACTGATGAGGTTCAAAACTGAAAACTCCACTCGGTTCTTAGCCCTGTGAAGGATATCGGCGTCCCCTGTTCTATGGCAAGGAGAGGCGACACTCAGGTTGTATCACTGACTTCTAAGGACACACACACTACGTGTTGCTGGGACTGGAACCGAGATGCCGTGAGCCTCGTCAGCGTCCACAAGTGTGGCCGTGACAGTGTCTGCTGTGGCAGGAGCCAGGTGACCCGCGGACACACGTAGGCTGGAGCGTCCTCGCTCCCTCTTAGTTGTATGCTTCTTTTTAAACAAATGATATAAAACCTGAATTTTGTTAAATAGTAGCATTTTTGTTCTAAAAGTAATGTCTTGGTTGTGGAAAAAATTAAAAACGAAACCAAGCAGGGGCACCTGGGTGGCTCAGTTAAGTCTCCAACTCTTAATTTCAGCTAAGGTCATGATCTCATGGTTTGTGGCATCGATCCCCTCAAACGGAGCCTGCTTGGGATTCTCTCCCTCTTTCTCTGCCCCTCTCCACTTGCACTTTCTCTCTCTCTCTCTCTCTCTCCCACGCCTCTCAAAAAATAAACATTTTAAAAAACAGGAGGCAAAGATAGAAAAAAAAAAAAACCACTCGTAAGCCCACAAGTCAGATATGTTATTACTTTGATTGATACACAATTCCTCCAGACTTTTCTTTTTACGTACATATAAAACTCATATGCCATATTTCATGAAATCTAAGATGCTATTGACTATAAAATGCATCATCATTACTTTATATACTAAGAAAGAAAAAACTGAGAGTATGACACTCATCATAGTCTCACTAGAGGCATGAATCCATCATATCCACTTGTTGCTTTGAAATGAAAGGGATTGATGATTTCCTCCCACCGTTAGCTGTGTGCCTGGGAATCCACCACAAAATCTTTTGAAAAATAGCTCAGGAACAAGATGGAACAGCCTCACCTGCTCTGGGATACCTTCCTTTCTTGTCTCACACGGAACTTGGTGGTTACTTTGCAAGAAAAGATGAAATCACAGGTATTTTTCCTCCAACACAGTATCTGCCTCCCTGATACGTCAGGTATTCCTTGCTGCCAGGTTCCTGGGACTTTCTGAATACACACTACCTCTCTTTTATTGCCAAATCATGATGCAATCTTTGAAAAGACACTTTAAATGATGTTTCAAATCAAAGCACACAGAATCCATGATGCACGTCATTCACAGCAGTATCAATAGTTAGAAACGAGAACACATGACGATAACTGTAGCCTAACTGCCACTTGATCGGTAGCAATTTTAAGATACTTTCTAGGGTGCCAGCGTGACTCAACAGGTTAAGCAGCTGACTCTTGATTTCGGCTCAGGTCACGATCTCACAGTTTGGGAGATGGAGCCTCGAGTCGGGCTCCGCACTGACAGTGTGGAGCCTGCTTGGGATTCTCTTTCTTTCTCTCGCTCTGTCTCTCTCTCTCTCAAAATAAATAAATACACTTGAAAAAAAAAGATACTTTCTAATTCCAGAGGTGTTAAAACATGGGAGGCAAAAGTGTGCCTTTGAATTAATGAAATAGGTAGATAGATTTTTTACGAAAATGAGATTTTACCTATCTACATTTTTATACTCTTAAAATATTACGTATTTATGGAATATTTCTTACAATCAAAAGGATAGAGAACTTTTATATATACATATATAAAATATATGTACATACATATGATATATACAAGTATATAATAAGAATATCATATGTCTTAGATAATATACATAGTACATAAGTATGGATATATGTATATACATATGCTATAAGATTATATATATAATGTATATGTGTGTATATACATATATATGATGTATGTACATATGCTATAAAGAATTTTTTTTAATTTTTTTAATGTTTATTTATTTTTGAGAGAGAGAGAAAGCACAATTGGGAAGGAGGAGAGAGAGGGGGACAGAGGATCCAAAGTGGGCTCCATGCTGACAGCAATGAGCCCAATGTGGGTCTCGAACTCACAGACTGCGAGACCATGACCTGAGCCGAAGTCAGACACTCAACCGACTAAGCCACCCAGGCGCCCCATGAATGGGTTTGTTTATGTATGTATGTATGTATGTATGTATGTATTTTCGAACGAGAGAGAGTGTGCACAAGTGAAGGAGGGGCAGAGAGAGGGAGAGAGAGAATCTTAAGCAGACTCCATTGACAGAATTGTTCTTTAAAATCTCATTTACTCACCCTTCAGCTTGAGACACAGAATCATAAATACCAACACCTCCTGGA